GGCCCTAAAAAAAACGTTCCCACGAGGGAACCTACTCAGAATACCATGTCAGAATAGTGAAGGAAGGAATGACTGAATTAGCAAGCAGGTGGGTACAAGTAGGAAACCTAAAAGTGTCGTACCCTATATGAACTACCCCACTACAGCCTAGACAGACTATAGCATATAAGTTTGACACGTTGTTAGAAACAAGTAACTTAAACGCTTCTGAAGTATCGAAGTATCGACACGAAACGGAGCAGACTACAGCGAAGCAACACACGAGTCAACAAAAGCAACCGTTGGAGGTTACGCGAAGGTCAAAGGTCACTGGCCTTTGACTTGACGAAAAGTATGGTGCGACAGTAAGGTCACATAACTGACTCGAGACTGAGCAGTTACCCGAGTAGGCACTGTATCGAACCGCAACAGCAGAAAACAGTTAAAGTATAACTTTTCATATTCATTTGTAATCATATAAAAGCCGTGTATGTCTTTGCTATTATTAACTAATCTTGTTCTCACACACCAGTACAAGGTGGTTCAGCAACTCGAATATTTACGCTTCCGCAACTACCGTATGGCCCCGGATATAGGCGCCATCCGATTAAAGGCGCCGGCGCCTCTATCTGGAGCATGGCGCTTATGGCCGGAACTCGATTATAAGCGCACCCCCTGAAAATTCTATCCTTATTATAAGCGCATCCCTTACCCTTTCATTGGAGGCATTACAAAAGATTTTACTAAATTGTCACTTTTTCTAAGCAACATCAAATTAAGCTAGATCTCCTAACAACAAGTTTAGCCGAGGTACTTCTACCTACGGTAACATGGATCATACAGTACCCCTCCTACTCCTCGTCAGATTCGGGCTCCTGGCAGTTGTTGCCAAAAAAACCATCAGCGATGATGTCATCGTCGACATCCACTTCAGCTGTCAGCTGGCTCCGCCTGTGCGCCATGGCGAGTCCGTCCTCACTGCCGTCAAGCTGGTTGCTGATGCCACAGGTGAGGAAGGCATGCTTGATGAGGTCGGCCGGCACTGCCTTCCAGGCTTGTGATACCCACCGCAGGACGACCTCTGGTGAAGGCTTCTTCAGGTTCCCTGAAACATTACGGGAGAACAGTGGAAAGCAGTTAGTGCAACAACAAAGAATTCGGGGGAGGGGGGGGGGGGGGGGGGGGGGGGAATACCATACCCATGCCATACCTGCTGCCGTCAGCTGCTCTTGCCCCTCTGCCTCAAACCACCTCTGGTACTGCTGGCGGACCGACGCCTTAAAGCTCTTGTTGATGCAGACATCGAGCGGCTGTACCTCCGCCGTACAGCCCGACGGGATGATCGCCGGCACGCAGTTCATCTCGCGGAGCTTCTCCTTCACCTCCTCGGTGAGGTGACCGCGGTAAGAATCCAGCACCAGCATCGAGCTCTTGGCGTGTCTGCCGAACCGAGGCTTCAGGAACGGCTTCACGCCCTCCTCAAGCCAGCGAACGACGCCAGGGGAGTCCATCCACCCGTTCTCGTGGCAAGCCACGGCCACATCTGCATGAAACACGCACGGGTGGTTAGAATTCGAACTCTGAAAAGAACGCAGTGACCGAGCCGTGCACCTCTTTACTTACTGGCAGGGAAATTGCCCTTCGGCAAGGTTTTGCGCTTGAAGAACACCCACGGCTTCAGCTTCCTTCCGTCCGCCGTGCACGCCAACATAACGGTCACTCTCGGCTTCTGATACCCCGCGCTCCTGATAGGCACCGAGCGAACACCCGTTTCCTCCACGGTGGTGGTGGCGGGCATCTCCAGCCAGAGCGGCGTCTGGTCCGCGTTGATGATCCACGCGGTGTCGATGCCGCGCTCACGACGCTTGGCACGCACGAACTGCCAGAAGCTCTTGTACTGCTCAGCGACATCTGCACGGCGTTGGAAGAGACGTCGGACACAGACGGAGGGCGTTAGTACAATTAAAGAAAAACAACGTGCCAAATTGAACGGGGTAATTCTCACGCGCTGCGGTTTTCTGGGCAACCCGGGTCTTCATGCGGACGCTCAGATTCCATCGCCGCCGAAAGCGCTCCGACCACCTCTGGCTTCCTTTCCACTTCTTGTCCGGGTACAGAAGCTTCATGAACTCCCGCGACCACTCCTGCAAGCGGCCGACTGACACGGCAGTTCCCTTGCGGCGCCACTCGAGTAGCTTCTCGTACACCTTCAACTCCATTGGCCGGTACCATGACGCTCGCCCGCGGCCGTGCATGCGCTTCCGAGCGGAGTGAACATCCTTGAGGAATTCCGCCGTCCGCTTCCAGTTGGTGAGACACTTCCGGTGGATTCCGCTCTCGCGAGCCAAGGCGCGCACCGACACCGCCAAGTCCATCAGAGCAACCCACTTCAACTTCTCCGCGGCGGTGTATCCTTGCCGCTTGTGGTCGGTGAGCTTGTGCCTGGGAGAGGGGGGGCGGGCATCACGGTTCTGTGAAGAGGGGTGGGGTCACTTGCGATTATTCGGAGGATAGGTTGGTATGGGCAGTTTCTCGGGTAGCCCGTCGCGTGACCAGTACTCAACGCCGTCGTCGTCAGCGTCGCCCGTAACACCTTCTGGAAACACATCGTCAGCGGTGCCGCCCTGGGCGCCGCCCCCGGCGGAAGCCTCCGTGCCACCCTCGGCGCCGTCAGCGCCGCTCGCTTCCTCAGCGTCAGCAACATCATCGTCGGCGCCGACCGCAGATTCGTCCCAAGGGCAATCGTCGGGCTGTCCCCAACGTCCTCCAGGAAAGTGTTCCACTTCCACGTACTCATCTTGCGCCTTGTCAGACTCCGGTTCGGAGAGGTATTCGTCGAACGCCGATGGGAGCAGTAGCGTGAGCACGGGCTGATTGCCAGTGAGTTGCGGAGACACAGGACCCAGAGGCGGAGGAGCAGGAGGAACAGGAGGCGCAGGAGGTGCAGGAGGCGAAGGAGGAGCAGGAGGCGCAGGAGGCGCAGGAGGCCGTGGTGGCTCTGGTGGTTCTGGTGGGATACGGGAGTACCACCCGTCAGCGTCTACTCTAAACGCGGGCCTTCGCGTAGGCTTTTTCTTGAACAAGAAGTGGGTGCCGCTGAATTCCGCCATGGCGGCGGCATTCAGGCGAGAACTACCAAGAAACCGAACGAGAAACTGAGAGAGATGGAGAACAAATGAGAGATTCAAAGGGACCCCTTCTGGTTAGCGCCTCGGGGTCCTCGTCGGGGAGAGACGGGTACCCCCTGTCTGAACCCGGAGAGGAGGTTATCGCGGCACGAAGATGCTGCGCTGGCAGGGCATTCCAGCCCCTTCTCGATGGTTCGGGTGAAATGCAGCTGCCTGCCAGCGCATGAAAGCCTGATTGGGCCGCAAGGCTGTCAGAATATTATGTTTCTCTAGTCGGCAGTGGGGTACTTTGTAGTGAGTACAACCCTGTTAGGGTTTTCTATATGTATCCCAATGTTTGCTAGTGAATCCATCCTCACTCATTCTTACTCGTCAATTATTCTCACAAAGGCAACTTTCACGTCAGCGCTGGCAGGTGCGCTGCTCGTGGACGGGATTTGTGCGGTCGGGAATCGAAGCGCAGCAGTTTTCGGCGGGATTACATGCATTATCCCACGCGCACGTTACTCAATTGTGTTCGCCTTATTGCGGGCTTCGATTTGGTACATAAAATTAACAAATTCATTTTTGCGATGATATAAGCGCCGGCGCTTATGGCCGTTATTCAGTTACAAGCGCCACCCCTAAAAAAAATGAAAGATCCTAAAGGCTATTTTCTCAGCCCAACACGCGTCAGGTTAAGATGTGCTGGCATAGGGGCAAACTGGCGTGTCTTTGCCTCTGTGTGTTGAAAAAAAATCGGTAGCACGCGATTCTGATTCCTGGCTCTACAATATATTGCCTCGATTGGAATGGTATGATTGAGATGTACATTTTGATGCTACAAAATTAGATATCTATATCTGTCATTATATAAGCGCATGCGCTTATAAAAATGACTCAATTAGAAGCGCACCCCCCTAAAAAACTCTGCTTTATTATAAGCGCAGGTGCGCTCCTATCCGGGGTAATACGGTAATCTAGTCGAAAAGATCTAGGGTCGTGAATCTGATTCTCGCGCAGATTGGCAGGGAGTGATTCCCTGCCAACTCAAATTGATAGAATGACAGCACATGCTGACTAGGACGCGCAAAAAGTGAGATCAGAGTGTGGGAAATCGAGTTTGTAGTTCGTTTCCCTGATAATGTGAAATTTGTTTCTGTATTTAGTCAGGTTTTCAAAGGAAAAACCAATATGCGCTTATAATAAATCATTTTTTTTTAGAGTGTTGGCTTATAATCAAGGACCGGATTTAAGCGCCGTCATCCTTTTATAAGCGCCGGCGCTTATCCGAGTCCTGCGCTTCTATCCGGGGGCTTACGGTACACCCGTTCTCCCACTTGTAGTTCTCACACTTAAGTACACCAGGGGGGAACCCCCCCACACGAGAACCACCTGCAAAGGAGCCATAGCAGTCCAGAGGGTATAAGCCAACTGCTTCTCATTGAGTTGTCACACCTCTAGTACCTCACTCCAAGATTCAAGAACCACCCACTTGCCCCTCAAAACTTGGTCCACACGAGTGCACTGAACTGAAGCAGTCACGCTCTCATCGTGCTTCTCGCACTTCTAGTACCCCCAACCCAAAAACCACCCACACTTGACTTGTGGCCGCTTGTCCAATTTCCAAGAAGCTCAATTCTCTCCAACAATCGCAAGCCAACTGCATCTTGTCGTCATTCTTCCAGAGGTCTTCCAGAGGCCCATGAGAGGCCCATGTCCGCCCGCCCTGCCTTTTGTTCGAGTCGACTCAAAACACGTCGTCGTCATTATTGCAACGATACCTGGTGCCCCAAGAACCACCCGCACTCAAACCACCTGCCAATGCCACCTTGCCACCTTGCCACCTTGCCCAGCCCAGAGGGCTTAAGGCAACTGCTTTGCGTCGTGGTTCTCGCACTTATAGTATCCCAGGAACCACCCGCACTTGGCTCCGGAAACGGTGGTTGGCGGAGGAGGCGTGGCGGGCGGCGGAGGAGAGGGGGGCGGCGGGGACGGGGGAGGGGGAGACGGTGGGGGTGGGCGGGGTGGGGGAGGAGAGGGGGGTGGAGGAGAGGGAGGAGGCGAGGGAGGAGGCGAGGGGGGAGGAGAGGGAGGAGGGTTGGGGGGAGGAGATGGAGGAGGGGAGGGAGGAGGGTTGGGGGGAGGAGAGGGTGGGGGTTTGGGAGGAGAAGGAGGAGGGGAGGGAGGAGGAGAGGGAGGAGGGTTGGGGGGAGAGGGAGGAGGAGACGGAGGAGGGGAGGGAGGAGGAGAGGGAGGGGGGGAAGGAGGGGGGGAGGGAGGGGGGAAAGGAGGGGGGAAGGGAGGAGGAGAGGGAGGGGGGGAAGGAGGGGGGAAGGGAGGGGGGGAAGGAGGGGGGAAGGGAGGGGGGGAATCCGGAGGTGGGGGAGGGGGAGAGTCAGGGGGAGGTGGGGGAGAGTCCGGAGGGACAGATGGCAAGTTCCCATTGGCTGTTGGATCCAAATTCTCCTCCGTAAGGCTTGGGGAAGGCGGAGGGGGGTTGGGGGGAGGAGCGGATGGGGAAGGAGCGGAGGGGGGAGGAGCGGAGGGGGGAGGAGCGGAGGGGGGAGGAGCGGAGGGGGGAGGAGTGGAGGGCGGAGGAGCAGAGGGGGGAGGAGTGGAGGGGGGAGGAGCGGAGAGGGGAGGAGTGGAGGGGGGAGGAGTGGAGGGTGAAGGAGCGGAGGAGGGAGAAGCGGAGGGGGAAGGAGCAGAGGGGGAAGGAGCGGAGGGGGAAGGAGCGGAGGGAGGAGGAGCGGAGGGGGCAGGGGAACTTTCTGAGGGAGGGGAGGAGGAAGGAGGGGAAAGCGGAGGGAATGGGGGAGGGGCGCTATCAGGGGGAGGAGCGGGCGCAGGGGTTGGGGCAGCTGCTGTTTCAACTTTCACCGAGTCAGTTGGGGGCGTTGGTGGGGGAGGGGAAGGCGGGGGCGGGGAAGGTGGGGGCGGGGAAGGTGGGGGCGGGGAAGGTGGGGGCGGGGAAGGTGGGGGAGGGGAAGGCGGGGAGGGGGGAGGAGTGGAGGGGCGAGGTGAGCGGGGAGGCGGTAGGGGGGGTGTGGGGGGAGGGGGTGGGCGGGGGGGAGGAGGCGAAGGAGAGGGTTTCTCTGCAGTTTGGAAGGGAGGGGAACAGGAAGGAGTAAGAAAAGTAAGGCATCTATTAGCCTCTGAGAAAAAAACATTAAACGGCAGAGAAAGAGAAGGAGGGGCGGGGCGGGTGAATGGTGGACCTCACCCCAGTAGCAGTGCAGGAGCTCTCTGTCAATAGCACACAGGTGGGGCTGGGGAGGCCTTACTTCCATCAACTCGTGCTGTTCTAAGACAGCGTGAATGGTGGTGGATCTACCTAACCCCACCAGCACTGCACTGTGCAACATACGGGCCGAACACACGATCCCTTACCTATTGCAGTGCAGTTTAGGCCGTCAGCCGAGCGAACAGTCCCTTTGAAGCAGTCGCAGGAGAAGGAGGGGCGGGGGGGAGAACCTGACAGCTCCACCACGCAAGTCCCCAGAGAGCCGCACTGGGAGTTGGCAGCGGTGCGAGTGACGTTGGTGCGGCAGAAGGCGAGGCAGGCTGCCACTGAGCGTTGAGTGTCCACCTGGTGTGGCAGGGAGAGCAGGGGCGAGAAGCGCGTGGCAAGAGGAGTCAACAAGGGGCAATGTGTGATAATGGGGCAATGTGTGATAATGGGGCAATGTGTGATAATGGGGCAATGTGTGATTATGGGGCAATGTGTGATAATGGGGCAATGTGTGATAATGGGGCAATGTGTGATAATGGGGCAATGTGTGATAATGGGGCAATGTGTGATAATGGGGCAATGTGTGATAATGGGGCAATGTGTGATAATGGGGCAATGTGTGATTATGGGGCAATGTGTGATAATGGGGCAATGTGTGATAATGGGGCAATGTGCGATAATGGGGCAATGTGTGATAATGGGGCAATGTGCGATAATGGGGCAATGTGTGATAATGGGGCAATGTGTGATAATGGGGCAATGTGTGATTATGGGGCAATGTGTGATAATGGGGCAATGTGTGATAATGGGGCAATGTGTGATAATGGGGCAATGTGTGATAATGGGGCAATGTGTGATAATGGGGCAATGTGTGATAATGGGGCAATGTGTGATTATGGGGCAATGTGTGATAATGGGGCAATGTGTGATTATGGGGCAATGTGTGATAATGGGGCAATGTGTGATTATGGGGCAATGTGTGATAATGGGGCAATGTGTGATTATGGGGCAATGTGTGATAATGGGGCAATGTGTGATTATGGGGCAATGTGTGATTATGGGGCAATGTGTGATTATGGGGCAATGTGTGATAATGGGGCAATGTGTGATAATGGGGCAATGTGTGATAATGGGGCAATGTGTGATAATGGGGCAATGTGTGATAATGGGGCAATGTGTGATAATGGGGCAATGTGTGATAATGGGGCAATGTGTGATAATGGGGCAATGTGTGATAATGGGGCAATGTGTGATAATGGGGGCGGTGGGAGTGCGGCAGGAGTTCTCCGTTGCAGCCATTATCACACGAGTAACTGCTGCAACTGCCTGGAGCAGTTCTCTGTATGGAGCAGTTCTCTCTATGAAGCAGTTCTCTGTATGGAGCAGTACTGCTCCAGGCAGTTGCAGCAGTTACTCTGAGGGCAGTCCCGTCCATACTCTCACTCATGCCATCCAAACCCATCCAAACCCCCCTCCACCCACACCCACCTGCAGCAGCTCCCCTGTGCTCATGGGGCCGGTGCGAATGGGGAAGGAGTTCTCAGTCCCTACCCCACACTTCATACCCATTTATACCCATCTATACCCCTGTGACTACACCCACCTGCAGCAGCTCCCCGGTGCTCATGGGGCCGGTGCGAGTGGGACACGAGTTCTCCGTAGCAACGCCGTACACCAGGCAGTTGGAAGCTGCCGAGAAGGTTCCCGGCTCGAATCCCGTCTTGCAGAGGGGCAGCGCAAGGGGGGTGGTGTCGGAGACAAGCCCAGGCCCGTGGAAGTAGTTGGCGCTGATGTCGTACGAGACCATTTGTTGACTGTCTGTCACTCTGGGTACAAGGCCTGTGAAATAGTTCTGAGACAGGTTGCTGGGAGGGCAGCAAGGGATGGGCAGGGAGGCAGCAAGGGGTGGGGGGTGGTGTCGGAGACAAGCCCAGGCCCGTGGAAGTAGTTGGAGCTGATGTCGTATGACACCATCTGCTGGCTGTCCGTCACACGCGGGATTAGGCCTGCAAAATAGTTTTGGGACAGGTTGCTGGGATGGGGAGGCAAGGCAACGAATGGATAGAGAGGGATGCAGAGGGGTGGACGGGTCAGCAAGGACTGGAGAGGGGCGGTGAGAGGGGGGTGGTGTCTGAAACAAGCCCGGGTCCATGGAAGTAGTTGGAGCTGATGTCGTATGATACCATCTGCTGGCTGTCCGTCACCCTGGGGACCAGCCCTGTGAAATAGTTCTGAGACAGGTTGCTGGGAGGGCAGCAAGGGATGGAGAGGCAACAAGAGGTGGAGGGTTGTAAAATTGTGCAAAGGGGTGTAGAGGGGTGTGGAGTTATGGGAGCGGTCCTGTTTTACAGGTGCAGATGAGGGGGTAGCAGCAAGGCAGAGGGAGGAGGAAGCATGCAGAGGGAGGGTTACAGAGAGGAGGAGAGGGGCGCGCAGGTAGAGGAATGAGAGGGAATGGGAGGGGTTAGGAGGAGGAGAGGGAAGTGGGAGGGGTTAGGAGGAGGAGAGGGAAGTGGGAGGGGTTAGGAGGAGGAGAGGGAAGTGGGAGGGGTTAGGAGGAGGAGAGGGAGGGTAGGGGCGTGCAGGTAGGAGGAGAGGGTAGGCATGTTGCTGACAGTGGTGCCGGGAGCGCCACTGAGGGAAGGTCACAGAGAGGAGAGAGGGGAGAAGGAGGAAGAGAAGCGGAGGGGGCATGCACGTGGAAGAGGGAGGACGGAGGAGAAGGGGAGGACGATGTACAGGTAGGAGAGGGTGGGCATGTTGCTGACAACGGTGGGAGGAGCGGATCAAACAGAGGGAGGGTGTTACAGAAAGCGGGAGAGGAGGGCCATACAGGTAGGAGAGGGTGGGCATGTTGCTGACAACGGTGCCGGGAGCGCCACTGAGGGAGTTGCTGCTCACGTCCCTGGTGGGGGTGGGGAAGGGCAGGGGTGCGGAAGGGCAGGGGTGCGGAAGGGCAGGTTCATGGGAGCTGCTTATATGGAGTGAAAGAGCTGCTTGTAAGAAGTACAACTTACGATGCGTGCAGAGCACCACATCTGGACAGCATGGGAGGCAAAGGCCCTGTGAGAGTCGAAAGCAAGATCTCTTATACAGTGAACAGGAGCTGGTTACAGTGTGTATAGTACAGTACAGAGATCTCTTATGTGGTAACAGGAGCTGCTTACAGCGTGTACAGAGAGCCACAGCTGGATAGTGTGGGTGGCAGAGGGCCTGTGAGAGCGTTGAAAGAAATATCGCTGGTGGGGGGAAGGGGAGAGGGAAGGGGGGGGAAGGAGAAGGTGCCATGGGGGATGGGGGGGATGTAACGAGACAGAGAGAAAAATGAGAAGTGGAAGGCGATAAGAAGGAGGATGAGAGGTGCGAGAGCGGATGTGAGGTTGACTTGAGGGAGTATCTTAGGGATGACGTATCTCACATGGAGTTAAGGGCGCATTTGAGGGAGGGGGTATTTTAGAAGGGCGTATCTGAGGGAGGGCGTGTCTCACATGGAGTTGAGGGCTGGCTTGTCAGCGAACGCATCTGGAATAGCACCTGAGAGACGGTTGCGAGACAGGTCCCTGGGAGCGATGGGGAGAGGGAGAGAGGGAGAGTGAGAGGGATAGAGGGAGAGTGAGAGGGATAGAGGGAGAGTGGGAGAGAGGGCGAGAGGGAGTGGGAGAATGGGAAACAACAGCGAGGGCGAGGAAGGGAGAGTAAAGGGCAGCGGAGAGAGAAAATCTCAGTGAAAGATCTATTGAACATCACAAAAGCATCTCGGACAGCCACGTGATCAGAAGTTGAGTTTTGAGACATCTCAATAGATCGTTTGAAAATCACAAAAGCACGCCGGATGGTATCAGACAGAATGGCGACTGTTAAGAATTTCTCAACAGCGCATGCCTCCACACCATCTGCAGCACCCGCAGGATCTGTTGAGAGCACTTGCTGTATCCCTCATCCCAAGCCTACACACCATCGCCTTAAGGATGTGCAGTGTAGGTGCCTGGCATTCCCTCCCAGCACTGACAGTACCTGCAGGTGATTGAGCTGGCCCATGGAGGGCGGGAGGAAGACCCACACCACAGTGACTAGACCACTCCCACCCCTCTCACCACCCCCAGCACAGCACTCACCCCCGCAATCACCACATACACACCCTACCACACCCTACCACACCCTACCACACCCTACCACACCCTACACCACCCCCAGCACTGACAGGATCTGCAGGTGACTGAGCTGGCCCATGGAGGGCGGGAGGGGTCCTGATAGAGAGTTGTTGCTTATAGACCTGTCGGCGAGGGTGGGTAACAAAGAGAACGGGGCACAAGGCGGAAGCGAGAGGGGTAAAGAAGAGGGGGGAGAGAGGTTGTGGGAACCAAGGAGAAGCAGCATGGCTGGACGGCGACAGGTCTCAGGGGCAGGGAGGCGGTCAGGAAGGCAAGCTTGGGAAGCTGGCCTGTGTTGGTGGGTTCGTGTCAACTCAAAGGGCAAGTCCAGTCAAGTCAAACCAAGTCAAGTCAGGTCAGGTCGATTCAAGGTCAGGTCTTAGGGGCAGGGAGGCTTACAGGAAGGCAAGTTTGGGAAGCTGGCCAATGTTGGTGGGGAGGGGGCCAGAGAGAAGGTTGTGGCTTGCGATGCTGGGGGGGAGGGGGGAGAAAGGGGGGAGAAAGGGGGGAGAAAGGGGGGAGAAAGGGGAATGGTGGGAGGAAAGGAAAACAGGGATGTTGCTAAGTTGAGCTGTGTGCGCAATGCATGGCTTAGAATAAGCGCTTGAGCTCCTTACAAGTAGCTAATGTCGAGGAGGTTAATAAGGGGTACGCTCACAGGTGGATGAGTGCACTGGAACAGCCAGAAGAATAGCAAAGGTATGATTAACAGGATATGTGACATACGAGAAACGAGATCAGAGGAAGCTTATAGAGGGTACGCTCACAGGTAGATAAGCACACTGAGGTAAAGATATATTAACCAGCACAGCACACTAGTTATACAGATAAGATAACGAATGTGGAGGCCGATTATAAGGGGTACACTCACAGGTAGACGAGCACACTGAGGTACGCACCTTATCCATGGCGGACCGGCTATGCAAGTAACGAGTTCCGAGGATGCTAATAAGGGGTACACTCACAGGTAGACGAGTGCACTGGAACAGCCAGAAGAATAGCAAAGGTATGATTAACAGGATATGTGACATACGAGAAACGAGATCAGAGGAAGCTTATAGAGGGTACGCTCACAGGTAGATAAGCACACTGAGGTAAAGATATATTAACCAGCACAGCACACTAGTTATACAGATAAGATAACGAATGTGGAGGCCGATTATAAGGGGTACACTCACAGGTAGACGAGCACACTGAGGTACGCACCTTATCCATGGCGGACCGGCTATGCAAGTAACGAGTTCCGAGGATGCTAATAAGGGGTACACTCACAGGTAGACGAGTGCACTGAGCGCAGTGATAGAGTCAGGAAGGGACCCACTGAGCACGTTAACATCAATGAACCTGTGGGGAGTGGAGAGCGGTCACGAATGGTGTGATGCGGTGGGGAACGGTATGATTGGGATGGTGCGGGGCTGGGCGAGATGCTGAGAAGGCAAGCCATGGAGAAAAGGAGGGGTATACCGGGCACATGTGGAGGTAACTCGAAGGTAGAGGGGACGTATTGACTCACTCACGTGCATCGACCCACCCACATGTATCAACGGGGAACCCACACGAGCATCTGGAAAGCAGCAGGCCACTCACATGTATCGCAGGCGATCGAGACGGCCAATGGAAGCAGGGATGGACCCAGACAGGCGGTTGTTGCTCAGGTACCTGCACGTGGTAACCACGTAACCATGGTTGACAACAGTAAGGGTTGGGTTGCGGACGGGTGAACCCAGCCTTGGCAGCCAGTCAAGGTCGCAACAGTTGTCAATCTGGAGGAACACTCTTGTGTTGTTGTGTCTGGGTTTCAGTCACAGACTTGTGGGGCACTCACAGCCAGTTGAGGTGGTAATTGTTGCCAATCTGACTTTTGAGTCGACTCAATTGACACCACAGTTGGAGCACTCACAGCCAGTTGAAGTGGTAATTGTTGCCAATCTGACTTTTGAGTCAACTCAATTGACACCACAGTTGGAGCACTCACAGCCAGTTGAGGTGGTAATTGTTGCCAATCTGACTTTTGAGTCGACTCAATTGACACCACAGTTGGAGCACTCACAGCCAGTTGAGGTGGTAATTGTTGCCAATCTGACTTTTGAGTCGACTCAATTGGCACCACAGTTGGAGCACTCACAGCCAGCTGAGGTGGTAATTGTTGCCAATCTGCAGGGGGAATCACTCCAGACAGCAGGCTCTTCTCTTTTGCTTCCTTTCCAAGTTCACAGAGGTTTTCACTTCACACACAGATGTGCGGGGCACTCACAGCCAGTTGAGGTTGTAGTTGTTGCCGATCTGTGGGGGAATCACTCCAGACAAAAGGTTGTTTCGCACATCACTGGGTGAGGGGCGCATAGATCAGTGTAAGGGCCGTGGGGGGGACAAGGGGGACGAGAGGAGCAGGGAGAGGGATGGGTTGAGGGTGCGGTGCAGTGCGGTGCATCTATTGTTGAGCAGCTAAAGAGGAATGGATTATTATTGCGTGGATAACTGCGTGAGCGGCGCAATGAGCTCCTCGCATGTAGGGTTGAGGAGCCTTATAACAAGTACTTAAGACTCACATGTACTGCAGGGCTTGTAACGCGGATATCTGTGGGGGGATGGCCCCTGTGAGCTCGTTCGAAGCGAGCGAGCTGAGGAGAGCTCCAAGAGGGGAGTCAAGCAAGGGGAGGTAAGAGTGGGGAGCCAAGAGTGGGGGACAATCTGAGGGGATAATGAGGTGCGTTTTAATTAAACTCAAAACATATCCGAGGCAGATTTATGAGAGATGGACTCACAGGTTGGAGAAGACAAAGTGACTCACAGAGAGCGAGGGGTTGAAGGAGGGGATGGGGAGTTATATACTGTTGAGTTAAGATTAAGTGGCAAATCAATAGTACGGATAACTCACAGGTAGGAGAGGGAAGAAAGCGAGGAGATGAGGGAGGGGATGGGTCCTGATAGGCGATTCCCATCCAAGCGACTGTGGGACAGGGGTGTTGGGGGAGGGAAAGAGACAAGATTGAGCCATCCGAATGTGTGTGTGTGTGTCCGTGTGTGTGTGTGAGAGGGGGGAGTGTGGATGGGGATGGGGCCTGATAGACGGTTCCCATCCAAGCACCTGTGGGACACGGGTGTTGGGGGAGAAAGAGAGCATTATGGCCACGTGATAAAAGATTTGTTTCGAGACGTCTCAAACACTTCCCATCCAAGCGCCTGTGGGACACGGGTGTTGGGGGATTTAACCACTTGAATACATGTGCGTCCATGTGCGCGCACAAGAGGGTGACCAAACGCTTTCAAGGGGCCCCGCAGCATTTGCAGCAAGTCTTTCTTGTTTATTTCTGGTTTCTTCCTTTCTTTCTAGAAGTAGTAGGGATTCTTGGAAACAAGGGGCACGCACAGCATTTGCAGCTGCGGCAGCTTGCCAATCCCTGGGGGCACTGGGACTGACAGGTCATTCGGAATTCCCAACAATACCCTGTGATTACCTCTGGTTTCCATTGCAAAGGCCACTCACAGCATTTCCAGCTGGGGCAGCTTGCCAATCCCCGGGGGAAGAGGGCCTGATAGGTCATTGTCGGCCAGACTCCTGAGAAGCATCACATGGATGGGTGGGGTGGGGAGAGTGAGGGGGGGGGAGGGAAGGAGAGGTAGATGGCTTTTGGTTGGTTGGATTAGCGTGCTTGTTAACTTTTGAGTCGACTCAGAAGTCACAGCATCACATGGAAGGGTGGGGAGAGGGGGGAAGGGGGGGGAAAGGAGATGTAGATGGCTCTTGGGTGGTTGGCTTAGCGTGCTTGTTGTTGCGGGAAGGAGACAATCGGGGAACACCGAAACGAGATTCAGAATTCCACATACCATGCCATGCCATGCCATGCCATGCCACTACCTGCCCCTCCTCCACTCACAGGTCCTGCAGAGAAGTGAGCTTGGTGATGGCAGCTGGGAAGCTCCCGCTGATAGCATTGCCGCCCAAAAAGCTGCCTCAAGGGGGACAGTGGGGAGGAAAAACAGTTTCAAGGAAGAGAATTTTGCTTCATGGCAAAGGGCCACATAATTTGATCCCAAGGATACTGCGCATACAGTCAGATGCATGTAACGTGTATACGCTACTTTTTAATAAGGGTTGCATACAGTGCGGCGAGTGTTGAGTTGAGCAGGGAAATCGAGGCGGGTATGCTGGTCACGTTGTTGCCCACCCACCTGTGCACGCACAGGTATGAAAGCAGCAAAGAGACAGACCTGTGGTGAGAAATATGAGACAGAATGCTGCTTCTGCTTTAAATTTTATTATTCCAAGGCTGGCCTGGCTGTGAGATGCTGAATGATGGTGCAATGCGATGCAATGGCCACGGCCACAACAAGAGAATGGTGTTTGAATGTGTGCCGTCAAGTTTCAGCGGTTCATTTCAACCCCATGCTTGCCTGCTTGTTTATCACAAAATGAGGGCTTCAAGCAGTGTGCATATACACGCATTCAAATGCTTCAGAGAGTGTGCTTATAACGAAGTGAGGGATTCAGGGAGGTGCTTACAGCGAAGTGAGTGCAGTGAGTGAGGTTGGCGATCGAGTCTGGCAGAGGCCCTGTCACTCCCCACAAGGACTTTTGAGTTGACTCAAAAGAGGTGACTTTTGAGTTGCTTGAGGGAGGTGTTTGCTTACAGCGATGTGAGTGCAGTGAGGTTGGCAATCGAGTCTGGCAGAGGCCCTGTCACTCCCCACGACTTTTGAGTTGACTCAAAAGAGGTGACTTTTGAGTCGCTTGAGGGAGGTGTTTGCTTACAGCGATGTGAGTGCAGTGAGGTTGGCAATCGAGTCTGGCAGAGGCCCTGTCACTCCCCACAAGGACTTTTGAGTTGACTCAAAAGAGGTGAATTTTGAGTCGCTTGAGGGAGGTGTTTGCTTACAGCGATGTGAGTGCAGTGAGGTTGGCAATCGAGTCTGGCAGAGGCCCTGTCACTCCCCACAAGGACTTTTGAGTTGACTCAAAAGAGGTGACTTTTGAGTTGCTTGAGGGAGGTGTTTGCTTACAGCGATGTGAGTGCAGTGAGGTTGGCAATCGAGTCTGGCAGAGGCCCTGTGACTCCCCACAAGGACCTGAGAGGAGAAAGGCCATGCCATGCAATGCCGTCCCAGGCCATGTCATTCCATTCCATGCCATGCCACGTCATGCCATGCCACGTCATGTCATGCCATGCCACGTCATGCCATGCCATGCCACGCCATCGCAACGTCATGAAACGCAAGGAGAAGAAAGGCGAGGTGCACAAGGGTCTCCGAAGGTAGTGAAAGCGATAGAATGTGCGCCGAAGGCTAGGGAGAGGAGAGCAAACAGCAAGCAGATCTGTCAAGACGCGGTAGAACCTACTTACCTATTAGACGGCGGGCCAGGGCCTTCGACAACAGCGACGGCTCACTCACAGTGTGACGACGCGGCCTTGGTCGTTGCACGAGACGCCGAAGACAACGTTGCAGTTCTGCCCTCTACTGCCAGTACACCTTGTGGGGCTGGTTTCTGAGGCACCTAAGAAAGAGACCGATTACCATGACGGGGCACTCACAGAGTGACGACGCGGCCCTGGTCGTTGCACGAGACGCCGAAGACCACGTTGCAGTTCTCCCTTGACCGCCAGTACACCTTGGGGCTGCGCTGCGGGTTGGTGAAATTCAAATCCTCTCTCAGCCGCAGCAGCGCTTGCCCTGGTGGGGAAATAGGAATGGCATGGGGGGAAAAGAAAAAGGCGGAAAACTTTGTAAATGAGGGACACTCCTGCAGCTGTCTCTCCCAGACTCCCCTTGAACGCCAATACACCTTGGGGCTGCGCTGCGGAGTTGGTGAAATTCAAATCCTCTCGCAGCAGCAGCAGCGCTTGTCCTGGTGGGGGAACGAGAGGGGCGTGGGGGAAAAAGTAAAGGCGGAAATGTGTAATGGGGGACACTGCCAGTACACCTGCCAGGCGTGGGAAAAGCAGCACTACTGCAGTTGTTTCTTCCCTTGGCCGCTGCCAGTACACCTTGGGCCTGCGCTGCAGGGTGGTGAAATCCAGCTCCTCTTTCAGCCGCAGCAGCGCTTGTCCTGGTGGCAAATGGAGACGATGAGGGGGTAAAGGTGGGACGTTGATCGAGGCGACATTGAAGTTGTTCCTTTCCTTGGCCGCCCTCGGGGCTGCGCTGTGGGTTGGTGAGATTCAGCCCTTCCCACAGCCGCAGCAGCGCTTGCCCTGATGAACAAGAGATGGGAACGGTGCATTGGCGCGAGAGCGGCATTGGGGAACGAGAGGTGCCGCATCCAGGAGGCCGGAATGTGACTGAGAGATGCAAGACCTTTGTGACGGATATACGACGCAGATTTATGCAGATGTAGTGTAGTCTCCCCGCCACTCGCGGTTTCCTCAGATGCAGTGTAGCATTGTAGCACGCTATTATACAGTCGACTCAAATCACATCGAAACACGTGAATACGCGATATGGGATGGGGTTTGCGGCATCGCAGATTCGGAGATCAGAAAAGGCTGGGGATGTGGCAGTGCAGTCTGATCCCTCCCTATGCATGCACATCGTCAGGTGAAAACGCGAAAGCAGACCGAAAACGCGAGAGCTAGGAGATGCGGTGAAGTAGGCAGAGCAAGAACCGAACTCTCGTTTTACTCACAGTCTGTTAAAGCGATCGAGCGAGCAGCAGTCAGTGGAACGAGGGTCGCGAGAACCGCGAAAACTCCGAGGACAAGCAAAGTTATGTTAACGAGCTGGCCATGTGAGAGCATTGCACGCGGGCAAACTCTTCGCGAGCCGCCATTTCGGTTTGCCGACTCGGAGCTACTACGATCCATTGAAGGAGGAATGCCCGCGTGGGGCCCTCCTTCCCTTCCACCACCACCTCCCAACGCCTTCGCTCCTAATCCTCTTTTCTTCAAGGGTTTGCCAGACGCTTGGACAACAATTTCCCCCGCGACCCAAGCTGCGCAGTACGTTGCACGGAAGTATGGCGCCTCGCTGCGTGTGGTTATGAAAATCTGAACGTGGGGAGTGTGATGCAGAGAAAAACGCCTTGGCGAAACCTCTGGAGTCCAGAGTCTAGACTCAGTGTACTTGCGAAGGAAAAAATATCGGGGACAGTCCTGTCCCGCCTGGTACTGTAGAATAGTGTACGGCCCCAGGAGAGAACTATGGAACTGATTGGATGGAACCCCCAAATCTCCAGTTTGGTAACCTTGCGTGGCTCCGAACCAGACAAAATGGAAACCTCGAGCCTGTAAGCTGGTTCCGAAGCACTTCCAGATTTCTCCTTACCTGATGCCGAACCAAGTCAGGGCCACCTGACGGTTCGCTCCGGCTCCAGGTATTGGCGGCTGAGCTTCGGCAGAGCGGCTTCCAAATTGACCTGAACAACCTCAAGGTGACGAGCCTGTGTGGCAAAAATTTGCTGGTTTTGAGGGCAAGAAGAATCTTTCGTTACTCGTACCACCTGACCTACTCCTACGGTCTGGTCAGGGTGTCGTCTGGTTGAGAGAGACAAAACAGCTACCGTGCTCATTATGTGTTCATTATTCGTACCGTCTGTGCTAAAACCAATTGTAATCCGGGTGTCTATATTACCTTATCCTAGTGACTATGCTGAGAATCTGATCCTCCCATTCAATTGCCTGTCTTGTGTTTCATTTTAAATTATATACTTTATTCATAGTTTCTTATATAAATACCGCACAGGATTTTTACAAAAAAACAATGGATTAATAAATCAATAACCTAAAGATGTTTAGAATTCGTGTAGACAAGTAATTTGCTTCGTCATGCCTTCTGCAAGTGGGAGGCACCCCTCCATCGTTCCTTCAACCGAGTATATCTGTCGGCAACGGGGATTGGACGTGCCTAGCCTTCCCAAGTCGTGCACTTTCGCGCTAGCCACTTCCGTGTGGTTGCCTGGCGTTGCCGCCACGGATACACGGGCATGAACCCTCTGAATCCGACGTTGGGCAGCCCGTGCGACGGAGTCTGATCTCCAACCAGGCCGTCTCTGCGACGAATCTAGGCTCGGAGAGGCTATGGGTTCTTCCGCCGCTGAAGGCTGGTCTGGTGCCACAGGCGTCCCTGTTGTCTTAGTTGGCTCGTCTTCTTTCCATACCACACCATAGTTTGGTGAGACATCGACGTGACCCTATCATGGCTCGTCATTTCTTTGCCATGGCGGTTTCACATTCAGAACCTCCTACATACAAGACTTCCAAGCACTAAGATAGCTTGGCACAGGTGCTAAAACTGGGAATCCGTGCTTGAGATAACTTCACTAAAGCTGAGACTCAGCAGATTAGAAAGCTCATCGCTGAGTAAAGTCTTCCGTGAGGCTCGTAATTGCGAATGTATTGACCGACCATGAGTGGTCGATTTTTGACTGGCTATGCATCAGCTCCTGTCTCGCCGCAAGTTAGTCGAGGGTCGTCACCTGCGCTTAGCGACCATGATTCGTAAGGGTTTCAAGTCACTTCGTCTGCCTCAGTTTGAGGCTAAATCTAGTGTTTTCTTCGTTTTATCCATCATATGGTTGAGACGTGGATCTGACACGCGTAGTTTCTCCCTCTCAGGTATTTGTCGGAACTCTTGTCCGAGAGGCAGAAACTTAGCCCTTTTATGCAAGTGCTGCCGATATGTAGCCGCCTGATGAATCAAGGTAGGACGAAGAACACGTAGTGAATGCGGATTCCGTTTGGCTTGGCGAGTTTTATGCTTACTTAACGACTTGTGGGACCTGCAGAAATTGCTCGAGTCACATCACTCGTTGGCGCGCAAGTGTTTATGGACCATGATTCAATCGATCACTCGCCTCCAATGTCACATCAGCCACATTCGTCTCATCAGCAGATAACTCACCAACATTTATCGCATCAGGCACTCTCTCATCCTCCGCATCCACCTCATCAGTCTCATGCATCTCATCAAGGCCATATCTCTCATCAGTCTCAGCAGATTCGACCTTCGTCTAGTGGATCGCCATTTGATTCCGGAACATGGGCTCCGATGCCATCCGAGGTTGGGGTAAGTTTGGTTATTTAGCAACTTCGTTACAAGGCGATATATTCTTATGGCTGACGCTGAGCCTTGGCTTTCCATGCTCGATATGCAGCCATCGTCTTCTCTCTTCTTGATGCAACCAACGAGCCAACCGTCAGCTTCCGGGACCCTTGTAGGCTGGACGGCTCAGCCTGGCGCTGCTCCGATTGTAAAGAAGACGAGCCGTTTGGAGGTTCCGGTGGATAAGTACCCTACATTTAACTTTGTCGGAAGAATCCTAGGACCACGAGGGAACTCGCTGAAACGAGTCGAAGCGCAGACAGGCTGTCGTGTCCTCATTCGCGGACGTGGGTCGATAAAGGACGCTGGCAAGGTATGAAAGTTTTCTAAGGCTGTCTTGTTTGCGAGCGTTGCACGCTGTGTGTAAGTGTTTCTACGGTTTCCTTTTACGCTTATCCGACGCAGGAGGAGAAGATGCGAGACAAGCCTGGATTTGAACATCTGAACGAGCCTCTGCATGTTATTGTGGAAGCGGAGCTTCCAGCGAATGTTGTTGACGCGCAGCTTGCTCAAGCGTGCGAAATTCTTCAAGAGCTACTCAGGCCTGTGGTGAGTGATTATGCTCGTGGAATTTTCAGCATTTGTTAGCATCAGTGGAACCAGGTGAGTAATTCAAGATTCCTTTCCCTTTTTTCAGGACGAAACTCATGATGTGGTCAAACGTGCACAACTTCGTGAATTAGCCATTTTGAATGGAACCCTTCGGGATGACCTGGGAGCTCACAGCTTGTTCTCAGGTTCCCCATTGCCCTTTGGCGATGTGGGACTGAAGCGAGCCAAAACTCGGCGATAGTGAAACAGAACGCGGCAGCTGAGGCTAGCACACTCAAGGTTGGTCCTGGAGGTTTGAGGTCTTTTATATTGCGTCATTTAGTGGTCTACTCCCCCACATTACCCGTTTTCTGTGTCATCACAGAACGCGTTTCACCGATTCACCTTAGATGTCCAGGGTCCTATTGAGTATGGATGTAGTCCTGGAGAATTTTGACTATGTAATTCTTTTTATGGAATGATGATTTCTTCATCCTTCATCTCGTGCACCTTGGGGTGGGGCAAGGGGTTGGGGCGCTTGGGGGGTGTGCGTGGTGGACTGCATGGTAAGTGTGGTTGGTTGGTGTTTTTGGACACGAATGGTAACTACGGGCCCCAGTACTTCATCGTGAAGCTTAGTAGTTGGACTCTACACCCATGAAACTCTTCATTTCGAAACCCCTTGAGCTTCTAGCGGCTCCGACTATGAGCATCATTCGTTTTGGCGACTTGGTTCTCCTGACTCTGGTGGTGCATGATGGCTTCTGACTAACGGATGCTGGTGCTCCCTGACCAATTAACGACCACTGCTAATCCTACTGACCAACTGGTATGAGGAACTGACCCTTGTCTGTGTCTAGCACATCTTTTTTGCAGCACGTTCTGACCTTACGTGTTGTTGCACTGTGCAGGCTGATCCCATTTTTCCTGTGTGGCAATGCGTATCATCTGTCCTGGATGAGTAAGCCTACGTGCCTCTGTTTGAGGGCAAATATCATGATGCTTTTCATCAGGTATGTGGTGCTGTCCGGGTTTCATCTTACTCATGTGTGGGCACAGTTACAAAAGCTGAACAAATATCCCATGTTGTTTTGACTCTTGCAGCACAGCATGCTGGAGCTGGGGATAAAAAATATGACAGAATGATTACAGTTTCACTGGCAAGATGTCCTCAAAATTGAGAGAACATTACCACGCCATAACCAGTTATTCGAGCCATCGTCCACTTCAACGTTCCATTCCCATTGAGGGATACAGAGGGACCGGGCCTACAGTTCACATGCCCACTTCAATTTGGTGAAGGCCACATCTGGAAGACATCAATCAACCTGACTAAACACAAAGCCAACCAAGCCTTTGGCGCTCAAATCCTTAGACTGCTTAAGTAATTACACAGTTGCTGAAAGCTGGGCGCCCAGACGATGTCGGAGGTAGGATTTCCAAAGACATTACGGTACACAGGCTCCCCTGCTAACATGTTTCTTTACCAGGTACAGGCTCATGGTCATCACGATCAGACCAGGTTCCTTCAGCCAGTTGCCACCATCATTTGTACAGTATCAGGGCTGATGTGGAGGACAATTTTCCACAAGAAAGCACCTCAGAAGCAAAGCATTGTAGGCACATAACCAAAATGTTCTGTGCATGTGTCCTGACCTAATTGGAGGGATTTTTTTTTTTTTTTTGCAACCTAGCCAAAACTTGTTACACTACTTGGGTTAGACAAATTGCTTTGCATGGCAAGAGTTGACTGCTGCTGCGAAAAAATGCAGGTTCACCAGCAAGCAGGAGGCAGGACAAAAGTGTAAGAGCTGCTAAACTTTGCTTGAGTGCCTGAACCCCTCGTCTGTGAAGGGTCGTCACAAGCACATCTTCAAATTTGCGAGCCTGCAAGAATGGGCGTGCAGGGATGTCAAGACGGATTCATATCGGTTACCATGAGGGATGCACTGGGACCAGGGCGCTACAGCGAGGCTGAGAGTTATTATACATGAAGCCAACACTACCGTTGTCGTACCATAAAAACAAATGGACCAACCTGCCGGACAACTAGGGGATCTTCCCCAGGAGAAAGTGGAGCCGTCAAAACGGTGAGAAGCCCATTGCGGTTGCCAAACACAATGTCTGTCAGACACCGATCTCCAACCTGCCAACACAGGGATGTGTCCCATATTAGTGGGTGAAACCTACCAAAACAGTACGTGAAGCGATGGTTGATGCTTAGCGGGACACATCATAAAATTATTGAAACCCTAGCTGGCTGGCATACAACTGCCATCCAGCTAGGGTCTTAGATGTGCCTCCAACTTCTTTCTTGCAGCCCTTCGAAGTCCACGAGAAACGAAACCTGAATGGGAATCTGGCACTAAGGGAATTTGAAGCAGTCACTCACCATGACCATCTCTTCTGCCCTGCATCCAAAATGCGTCTCCAGCTCTGCTGCTGCTCCACCAGGTTTCTTCTCCGAATGAAGAATCACGGGCATCCCCAGGGCCTGCTCCATTGGCAAAAGGGGATCCCAAGTAAACACTCACCATGACCATCTCATTTGCCCTGCATCCGAAGTGTGTCTCCAGCTCTGCTGCTCCTCCACCAGGCTTCTTCTCCGAGTGAAGAATCACAGGCACCCCCAGGGCCTGCTCCATTGCTGCTGCCAGGGAGCCGTCAGGGTCGTACTGCTTCAACCCTGAACTGGAGGGCAGGTTGGGATACAAATGGAAGGAGAATAAAAGTCGATGGCACAAAACAGTAGGATTATTTGAGATGCCGTCAGGGTCGTACTGCTTCAACCCTGAACTGGAAGGCAGGTTGGGACACAAACGGTGGGGAAATATGGGAGCAGGCAGGCATGATTCATTCGCATAATTCTTCTTAGATAACCCAAGCCTGAGTATCATATTTTTTTAACTTTTATGGACACGAAGTACTATATTCTCAGTGGCAGCCCCCCCCCTTCCTTCCTCTCCCCCCCCTCTTGTTCATCCGTACATCTCTCTGACAGCACACTGACCAACTTGCAAAATTTCTCAGAATATCAATGCCTCTCGATCCGAGTGTCCTCCACACATCCAGGGAAGCCACCAGCCCATCATGCTTTAGCAATACCCCCCACCGTTCATCTGTACATTCCCACCACACTCCATCAACCAACCTGCAGAATTGCTCAGGATGGCAATGCCTCTGGATCCGAATGTCTCCCGGCACACATCCAGGGAAGCTACCAGCCCATCCTCCACCTGCTTTGGCCGAGCCACACGTGGAATGGGAGGATGGGAATGGGGATGTGCTGACGGTTTGTGAGGCGCCTCTTGATGGTAATTCCTCTGAATTCGAATGTCCTCCGACACACATCCAGGGAAGCTACCATCCCATCCTCCACCTGCTTTGGCCGAGCCACATGTGGGATTCGTGGGGGGTTGGGGATGAGCTGACGATCTCTGAGGCGACTACAAAGTTACTACGTCTGGGATGTTGGTTTGATATCAGAGACCAGGAAATCAGAGACCTGTCAATTGGTTTGATAGAGTGGAAGGAATTTGACTTTAAGGGGATTCCAAATGGCATTAATGAATGCAACAAGTGAGACCGAGTTAAATGCTGCATGGCTTACGAGAGCTAAGGTTGAGTCACCTGCATCTCGTACGGAAGTGTGAGTGTATTATCCCTGTCAAACACCACTGCATGACTCACGGGAGGATGCTGGGGCGATTGACCTCACCAGGTGAATGCTTTTTTGAACTCACCTGCATCTCGTACGGAAGGGTGAGGGTGCTATCCTTGTCAAGCACCACTGCATGACTCACGGAAGGATGCTAGAAACACCTGGTGGTGCATGGCTGTTTGAAACTCACCTGCATCTTGTACGGAAGTGTGAGTGTGCTATCCCTGTCAAACGCCACTGCCTTGAACCATGGGAGGTCGCTAGGATGATTAATCTCACCTGGTGCATGGCGGTTTCAGACTCACCTGCATTTTGTACGGGAGCGTGAGTGTGTTATCTTTGTCAAACACCACTGCCCTCAACCCTGCTGCATGAAGAGCCTTCCAATCAATCCACCTGTTTTAGAGCGGGTGAAGGCACCAAGGAGTGGTAAAAGCGAATGGAAATAGGAGGATGGGTGAGGGTACCATCCTTGTCAAATACAACTTCCTTGAACCCTGCTGCATGAAGGGCCTTCCAGTCAATCCACCTGTTTCAGAGTGGGTGAGGACGGGCACCAAGCAATCGCAAGGCGGATGGGAATGAAAGAATTAGAGGGGAGGGCGGACCGGGAAGGCCCCAGCACAGAATCTGATCAGAAGAACAAGCTGAGGGAAATGATCATGCAACTTCAAAGAGTCAAGCATTAGAATTTCGAACATACCTGATATCAGGCACGGACACGTGCGGCACGGCGAGGCTCGGATTCGAAACGGCCACACTTGCGACAGCCGTGACTCCTTGCAGGTTGAAACTCTGCCCGAGCTTCGCCCAGAGGCTCGGCGAATGAGGCTCGGAATCCGCGGGTGACCCTTTCAAACCATCGCTTTCCGACGCAGACGTCTCCCCGGAAGCTCTAGTTTGGAAATTCCTACGCGATGGGCTATTATCATTCCGAGCAGAAGACTGAGGCGTCATATTCAAAGAAGATCGTACGGGACTGCAGCGCGTCTGAAACGATCTTGACCGCTGAGATTGATAGCAAATTGGGTGACCGTTGGATTTGGCTTTGAGCACTTCAAGAGATTCGAAAACTTTAGGAGGGTTGAGAGCTGTGATCGAAGCACGAGAGGACAGCAGAGCGGACCTGGTCCACGAGACGGACGAAGCTATCGGTGCTATGGATGCCATAAGCCTTAGAGGCGGAATGCCGTGTAGCAAGCCGAACGGAGCCGCTGCACGACGCTGACGTGCGACCCTGCACGTGCGAAAACAACCTAACGCGAATATCCACACCGCACTAGACGGACTAGAGAGTTATGGCAATCTGTTGCATCGCCCGCAAGGGCTCAACAGAAATCTCGATTTCTTGACCAAGATAACGTATTATGAAGGATGTGAACAGGGGGGCGTTTCCACTCGGAACCCAACTAAACCGTCTACACACCATTTGAAATGCAGACCATCTCACCCAAACGGATACACATGAACTACTCTGACACGTCCTGGGGCCAGTGGGTTGTGTGGATTCGCGACGTGCACGACGTGACGAGAAGAAAAAATGTTGCTCGGTTACGCATTACAGATTTCTCAGTTCCAACTGACTTTCGTTGCTTATTACACAATGTGTCAGATACGGTATGAAATAATAATTCGGTTGGCCTATGATGTCAGCATTACTGGTATATGATTGGCATGAGCCAAATGCTTTTCTGATTATCCGTGCGCCATGATAAGTTCATCCTAGCACCTTGCTTGATTAGATGGGTCGGGGAGCATGGTAAGGCTAAGCAAACCATGCAGATAGATGCATAAGGGAGCTCGCACGACCAACTACACTCCAACAACACAAGCTGTGATTATCTAAAAGGGAACGGGATGGCAGAGTTGAGTTCTAAGTACGAGCATCTCACTGCTCCTAGAATATGCTCCGGTAGCTCGTCCTCCGTCTCTCCCTGCACACAGCACATCAATTAGTGAGCGAAAGAAAGAAAGAAAGGAATCAATCTGAGACGCATGATTTCGAGCACATGTTCAAGCATTGTAACAATAAGCCATGAGAAATGCAGATCACACACCTTGAGATAGAATGCCATGTCAACCACCAGGTTCGTGATGTATCCAAACACCATGCCCATGATCCCTCGTACAACTGACGACGATGCCATGTTCACATCAACCTGTAGAGGGTGAGGAAAATGGGAGAGGGAGGGTGCATGTAACAGTCTATGACATAAAATCACATATTCAGTTGATAATAATGCCATGTTCAGATCCGCCTGAAAGGCGTTGGAGAGAATGGGGGACGGAGCATGGACTTGTGAGCTCCTTACTATCCCAAGATTTAATTATTTTCTCCCTCCCTCGTTTCAGTGATGCCGTGCTCCATCCATGTTGGGCATCCTTAGCTCCTCAAAGCTGTTCCTTGTCGATAGCCTTGTTGTGTCGCCATGCATTCAGGTACGACATCCATGTGACAGCAGTAGCACCCATCACCCCACCCACACACGCACCTCAAAGTACTCCTCTGTGGAGTGGTAAGCCGTCTCCATCACCTGCCCCATCACCACATTGTGCGACCCCACTGCCTGCTTCACCAGCCACGAGCCCTGGGAAGGAGGGGAGTGGCAGGGGGGAGGGCGAGGGGGAGGACAGGAGGACAGGACATTAATGGATTAAAGGACGGGCGAGCATATGAGAAAGTTCCCAACACAAGTCCTTACCTCAGGCACGGACGGAAGCAGGGAGAGGCAGTTGTTGCGGTACGAGTTGTCTGCCCCCAGAAACCGACGCATGGAGGGCAGGTCGAGTCAAGCACATGGCGGGGAAACAGGCGGCCAGGAATATGACAATCAGGGATTTGACAGTCAGGGAAATGACATTCAGTGCTCACCTCAGGCACAGATGGCAGCAGGGACAGGCGGTTGTTGCGGTAGGAGTCATCTGCCCCCAGGAAGCGACGCATGGAGGGCAGGTCGAGCACGTGGCGCTCTGCTGTGCAATAGAAGACCATGGAGTAGACCTCTTTGCCTGCTGGCACCTGGTGGAAGAAAAAGGAAGAAGGACAAGAAGGACAAGAAGGACAAGAAGGACAAGAAGGACAAGATGGACAAGAAGGACAAGAAGGACAAGATGGACAAGAAGGACAAGAAGGACAAGAAGGACAAGAAGGACAAGAAGGACAAGAAGGACAAGAAGGACAAGAAGGACAAGAAGGACAAGAAGGACAAGGAGGGGAGACACAGAAGCACATGGCATGTAGTGCAGGAAATGAGGATAAGGCACGTGGCGCTCTGCTGTGCAATAGAAGACCATGGAGTAGACCTCTTTGCCTGCTGGCACCTGGTGGAAGAAAAAGGAAGAAGGACAAGAAGGACAAGAAGGACAAGAAGGACAAGAAGGACAAGATGGACAAGAAGGACAAGAAGGACAAGATGGACAAGAAGGACAAGAAGGACAAGAAGGACAAGAAGGACAAGAAGGACAAGAAGGACAAGAAGGACAAGAAGGACAAGAAGGACAAGAAGGACAAGGAGGGGAGACACAGAAGCACATGGCATGTAGTGCAGGAAATGAGGATAAGGCACGTGGCGCTCTGCTGTGCAATAGAAGACCATGGAGTAGACCTCTTTGCCTGCTGGCACCTGGTGGAAGAAAAAGGAAGAAGGACAAGAAGGACAAGAAGGACAAGAAGGACAAGATGGACAAGAAGGACAAGAAGGACAAGATGGACAAGAAGGACAAGAAGGACAAGAAGGACAAGAAGGACAAGAAGGACAAGAAGGACAAGAAGGACAAGAAGGACAAGAAGGACAAGAAGGACAAGGAGGGGAGACACAGAAGCACATGGCATGTAGTGCAGGAAATGAGGATAAGGCACGTGGCGCTCTGCTGTGCAATAGAAGACCATGGAGTAGACCTCTTTGCCTGCTGGCACCTGGTGGAAGAAAAAGGAAGAAGGACAAGAAGGACAAGAAGGACAAGAAGGACAAGAAGGACAAGAAGGACAAGATGGACAAGAAGGACAAGAAGGACAAGATGGACAAGAAGGACAAGAAGGACAAGATGGACAAGAAGGACAAGAAGGACAAGAAGGACAAGAAGGACAAGAAGGACAAGAAGGACAAGAAGGACAAGAAGGACAAGAAGGACAAGAAGGACAAGGAGGGGAGACACAGAAGCACATGGCATGTAGTGCAGGAAATGAGGATAAGGCACGTGGCGCTCTGCTGTGCAATAGAAGACCATGGAGTAGACCTCTTTGCCTGCTGGCACCTGGTGGAAGAAAAAGGAAGAAGGACAAGAAGGACAAGAAGGACAAGAAGGACAAGAAGGACAAGAAGGACAAGATGGACAAGAAGGACAAGAAGGACAAGATGGACAAGAAGGACAAGAAGGACAAGAAGGACAAGAAGGACAAGAAGGACAAGAAGGACAAGAAGGACAAGAAGGACAAGAAGGACAAGAAGGACAAGAAGGACAAGAAGGACAAGAAGGACAAGGAGGGGAGACACAGAAGCACATGGCATGTAGTGCAGGAAATGAGGATAAGGCACGTGGCGCTCTGCTGTGCAATAGAAGACCATGGAGTAGACCTCTTTGCCTGCTGGCACCTGGTGGAAGAAAAAGGAAGAAGGACAAGAAGGACAAGAAGGACAAGAAGGACAAGAAGGACAAGAAGGACAAGATGGACAAGAAGGACAAGAAGGACAAGATGGACAAGAAGGACAAGAAGGACAAGAAGGACAAGAAGGACAAGAAGGACAAGAAGGACAAGAAGGACAAGAAGGACAAGAAGGACAAGAAGGACAAGGAGGGGAGACACAGAAGCACATGGCATGTAGTGCAGGAAATGAGGATAAGGCACGTGGCGCTCTGCTGTGCAATAGAAGACCATGGAGTAGACCTCTTTGCCTGCTGGCACCTGGTGGAAGAAAAAGGAAGAAGGACAAGAAGGACAAGAAGGACAAGAAGGACAAGAAGGACAAGATGGACAAGAAGGACAAGAAGGACAAGATGGACAAGAAGGACAAGAAGGACAAGAAGGACAAGAAGGACAAGAAGGACAAGAAGGACAAGAAGGACAAGAAGGACAAGAAGGACAAGAAGGACAAGGAGGGGAGACACAGAAGCACATGGCATGTAGTGCAGGAAATGAGGATAAGGCACGTGGCGCTCTGCTGTGCAATAGAAGACCATGGAGTAGACCTCTTTGCCTGCTGGCACCTGGTGGAAGAAAAAGGAAGAAGGACAAGAAGGACAAGAAGGACAAGAAGGACAAGAAGGACAAGAAGGACAAGATGGACAAGAAGGACAAGAAGGACAAGATGGACAAGAAGGACAAGAAGGACAAGATGGACAAGAAGGACAAGAAGGACAAGAAGGACAAGAAGGACAAGAAGGACAAGAAGGACAAGAAGGACAAGAAGGACAAGAAGGACAAGAAGGACAAGGAGGGGAGACACAGAAGCACATGGCATGTAGTGCAGGAAATGAGGATAAGGCACGTGGCGCTCTGCTGTGCAATAGAAGACCATGGAGTAGACCTCTTTGCCTGCTGGCACCTGGTGGAAGAAAAAGGAAGAAGGACAAGAAGGACAAGAAGGACAAGAAGGACAAGAAGGACAAGAAGGACAAGATGGACAAGAAGGACAAGAAGGACAAGATGGACAAGAAGGACAAGAAGGACAAGAAGGACAAGAAGGACAAGAAGGACAAGAAGGACAAGAAGGACAAGAAGGACAAGAAGGACAAGAAGGACAAGGAGGGGAGACACAGAAGCACATGGCATGTAGTGCAGGAAATGAGGATAAGGCACGTGGCGCTCTGCTGTGCAATAGAAGACCATGGAGTAGACCTCTTTGCCTGCTGGCACCTGGTGGAAGAAAAGGAAGAAGGACAAGAAGGACAAGAAGGACAAGAAGGACAAGAAGGACAAGAAGGACAAGATGGACAAGAAGGACAAGAAGGACAAGATGGACAAGAAGGACAAGAAGGACAAGATGGACAAGAAGGACAAGAAGGACAAGAAGGACAAGAAGGACAAGAAGGACAAGAAGGACAAGAAGGACAAGAAGGACAAGAAGGACAAGAAGGACAAGGAGGGGAGACACAGAAGCACATGGCATGTAGTGCAGGAAATGAGGATAAGGCACGTGGCGCTCTGCTGTGCAATAGAAGACCATGGAGTAGACCTCTTTGCCTGCTGGCACCTGGTGGAAGAAAAAGGAAGAAGGACAAGAAGGACAAGAAGGACAAGAAGGACAAGAAGGACAAGAAGGACAAGAAGGACAAGAAGGACAAGATGGACAAGAAGGACAAGAAGGACAAGATGGACAAGAAGGACAAGAAGGACAAGATGGACAAGAAGGACAAGAAGGACAAGAAGGACAAGAAGGACAAGAAGGACAAGAAGGACAAGAAGGACAAGAAGGACAAGAAGGACAAGGAGGGGAGACACAGAAGCACATGGCATGTAGTGCAGGAAATGAGGATAAGGCACGTGGCGCTCTGCTGTGCAATAGAAGACCATGGAGTAGACCTCTTTGCCTGCTGGCACCTGGTGGAAGAAAAAGGAAGAAGGACAAGAAGGACAAGAAGGACAAGAAGGACAAGAAGGACAAGAAGGACAAGAAGGACAAGAAGGACAAGAAGGACAAGAAGGACAAGACGGACAAGAAGGACAAGGAGGGGAGACACAGAAGCACATGGCATGTAGTGCAGGAAATGAGGATAAGGCACGTGGCGCTCTGCTGTGCAATAGAAGACCATGGAGTAGACCTCTTTGCCTGCTGGCACCTGGTGGAAGAAAAGGAAGAAGGACAAGAAGGACAAGAAGGACAAGAAGGACAAGAAGGACAAGAAGGACAAGAAGGACAAGAAGGACAAGAAGGACAAGAAGGACAAGAAGGACAAGAAGGACAAGAAGGACAAGAAGGACAAGAAGGACAAGAAGGACAAGAAGGACAAGAAGGACAAGAAGGACAAGAAGGACAAGGAGGGGAGACACAGAAGCACATGGCATGTAGTGCAGGAAATGAGGATAAGGCACGTGGCGCTCTGCTGTGCAATAGAAGACCATGGAGTAGACCTCTTTGCCTGCTGGCACCTGGTGGAAGAAAAAGGAAGAAGGACAAGAAGGACAAGAAGGACAAGAAGGACAAGAAGGACAAGAAGGACAAGAAGGACAAGAAGGACAAGAAGGACAAGAAGGACAAGAAGGACAAGAAGGACAAGAAGGACAAGAAGGACAAGAAGGACAAGAAGGACAAGAAGGACAAGAAGGACAAGAAGGACAAGAAGGACAAGAAGGACAAGAAGGACAAGAAGGACAAGATGGACAAGAAGGACAAGAAGGACAAGAAGGACAAGAAGGACAAGAAGGACAAGATGGACAAGAAGGACAAGAAGGACAAGAAGGACAAGAAGGACAAGAAGGACAAGAAGGACAAGGAGGGGAGACACAGAAGCACATGGCATGTAGTGCAGGAAATGAGGATAAGGCACGTGGCGCTCTGCTGTGCAATAGAAGACCATGGAGTAGACCTCTTTGCCTGCTGGCACCTGGTGGAAGAAAAAGGAAGAAGGACAAGAAGGACAAGAAGGACAAGAAGGACAAGAAGGACAAGAAGGACAAGAAGGACAAGAAGGACAAGAAGGACAAGAAGGACAAGAAGGACAAGAAGGACAAGAAGGACAAGAAGGACAAGAAGGACAAGAAGGACAAGAAGGACAAGAAGGACAAGAAGGACAAGAAGGACAAGAAGGACAAGAAGGACAAGAAGGACAAGAAGGACAAGAAGGACAAGAAGGACAAGGAGGGGAGACACAGAAGCACATGGCATGTAGTGCAGGAAATGAGGATAAGGCACGTGGCGCTCTGCTGTGCAATAGAAGACCATGGAGTAGACCTCTTTGCCTGCTGGCACCTGGTGGAAGAAAAAGGAAGAAGGACAAGAAGGACAAGAAGGACAAGAAGGACAAGAAGGACAAGAAGGACAAGAAGGACAAGAAGGACAAGAAGGACAAGAAGGACAAGAAGGACAAGAAGGACAAGAAGGACAAGAAGGACAAGAAGGACAAGAAGGACAAGAAGGACAAGAAGGACAAGAAGGACAAGAAGGACAAGAAGGACAAGGAGGGGAGACACAGAAGCACATGGCATGTAGTGCAGGAAATGAGGATAAGGCACGTGGCGCTCTGCTGTGCAATAGAAGACCATGGAGTAGACCTCTTTGCCTGCTGGCACCTGGTGGAAGAAAAAGGAAGAAGGACAAGAAGGACAAGAAGGACAAGAAGGACAAGAAGGACAAGAAGGACAAGAAGGACAAGAAGGACAAGAAGGACAAGAAGGACAAGACGGACAAGAAGGACAAGGAGGGGAGACACAGAAGCACATGGCATGTAGTGCAGGAAATGAGGATAAGGCACGTGGCGCTCTGCTGTGCAATAGAAGACCATGGAGTAGACCTCTTTGCCTGCTGGCACCTGGTGGAAGAAAAAGGAAGAAGGACAAGAAGGACAAGAAGGACAAGAAGGACAAGAAGGACAAGAAGGACAAGAAGGACAAGAAGGACAAGAAGGACAAGAAGGACAAGAAGGACAAGAAGGACAAGAAGGACAAGAAGGACAAGAAGGACAAGAAGGACAAGAAGGACAAGAAGGACAAGAAGGACAAGAAGGACAAGAAGGACAAGGAGGGGAGACACAGAAGCACATGGCATGTAGTGCAGGAAATGAGGATAAGGCACGTGGCGCTCTGCTGTGCAATAGAAGACCATGGAGTAGACCTCTTTGCCTGCTGGCACCTGGTGGAAGAAAAAGGAAGAAGGACAAGAAGGACAAGAAGGACAAGAAGGACAAGAAGGACAAGAAGGACAAGAAGGACAAGAAGGACAAGAAGGACAAGAAGGACAAGAAGGACAAGAAGGACAAGAAGGACAAGAAGGACAAGAAGGACAAGAAGGACAAGAAGGACAAGAAGGACAAGAAGGACAAGAAGGACAAGAAGGACAAGAAGGACAAGAAGGACAAGGAGGGGAGACACAGAAGCACATGGCATGTAGTGCAGGAAATGAGGATAAGGCACGTGGCGCTCTGCTGTGCAATAGAAGACCATGGAGTAGACCTCTTTGCCTGCTGGCACCTGGTGGAAGAAAAAGGAAGAAGGACAAGAAGGACAAGAAGGACAAGAAGGACAAGAAGGACAAGAAGGACAAGAAGGACAAGAAGGACAAGAAGGACAAGAAGGACAAGAAGGACAAGAAGGACAAGAAGGACAAGAAGGACAAGAAGGACAAGAAGGACAAGAAGGACAAGAAGGACAAGAAGGACAAGAAGGACAAGAAGGACAAGAAGGACAAGGAGGGGAGACACAGAAGCACATGGCATGTAGTGCAGGAAATGAGGATAAGGCACGTGGCGCTCTGCTGTGCAATAGAAGACCATGGAGTAGACCTCTTTGCCTGCTGGCACCTGGTGGAAGAAAAAGGAAGAAGGACAAGAAGGACAAGAAGGACAAGAAGGACAAGAAGGACAAGAAGGACAAGAAGGACAAGAAGGACAAGAAGGACAAGAAGGACAAGAAGGACAAGAAGGACAAGAAGGACAAGAAGGACAAGAAGGACAAGAAGGACAAGAAGGACAAGAAGGACAAGGAGGGGAGACACAGAAGCACATGGCATGTAGTGCAGGAAATGAGGATAAGGCACGTGGCGCTCTGCTGTGCAATAGAAGACCATGGAGTAGACCTCTTTGCCTGCTGGCACCTGGTGGAAGAAAAAGGAAGAAGGACAAGAAGGACAAGAAGGACAAGAAGGACAAGAAGGACAAGAAGGACAAGAAGGACAAGAAGGACAAGAAGGACAAGAAGGACAAGACGGACAAGAAGGACAAGGAGGGGAGACACAGAAGCACATGGCATGTAGTGCAGGAAATGAGGATAAGGCACGTGGCGCTCTGCTGTGCAATAGAAGACCATGGAGTAGACCTCTTTGCCTGCTGGCACCTGGTGGAAGAAAAAGGAAGAAGGACAAGAAGGACAAGAAGGACAAGAAGGACAAGAAGGACAAGAAGGACAAGAAGGACAAGAAGGACAAGAAGGACAAGAAGGACAAGAAGGACAAGAAGGACAAGAAGGACAAGAAGGACAAGAAGGACAAGAAGGACAAGAAGGACAAGAAGGACAAGAAGGACAAGGAGGGGAGACACAGAAGCACATGGCATGTAGTGCAGGAAATGAGGATAAGGCACGTGGCGCTCTGCTGTGCAATAGAAGACCATGGAGTAGACCTCTTTGCCTGCTGGCACCTGGTGGAAGAAAAAAGGACAAGAAGGACAAGAAGGACAAGAAGGACAAGAAGGACAAGAAGGACAAGAAGGACAAGAAGGACAAGAAGGACAAGAAGGACAAGAAGGACAAGAAGGACAAGAAGGACAAGAAGGACAAGAAGGACAAGAAGGACAAGGAGGGGAGACACAGAAGCACATGGCATGTAGTGCAGGAAATGAGGATAAGGCACGTGGCGCTCTGCTGTGCAATAGAAGACCATGGAGTAGACCTCTTTGCCTGCTGGCACCTGGTGGAAGAAAAAGGAAGAAGGACAAGAAGGACAAGAAGGACAAGAAGGACAAGAAGGACAAGAAGGACAAGAAGGACAAGAAGGACAAGAAGGACAAGAAGGACAAGACGGACAAGAAGGACAAGGAGGGGAGACACAGAAGCACATGGCATGTAGTGCAGGAAATGAGGATAAGGCACGTGGCGCTCTGCTGTGCAATAGAAGACCATGGAGTAGACCTCTTTGCCTGCTGGCACCTGGTGGAAGAAAAAGGAAGAAGGACAAGAAGGACAAGAAGGACAAGAAGGACAAGAAGGACAAGAAGGACAAGAAGGACAAGAAGGACAAGAAGGACAAGAAGGACAAGACGGACAAGAAGGACAAGGAGGGGAGACACAGAAGCACATGGCATGTAGTGCAGGAAATGAGGTTAAGGCACGTGGCGCTCTGCTGTGCAATAGAAGACCATGGAGTAGACCTCTTTGCCTGCTGGCACCTGGTGGAAGAAAAAGGAAGAAGGACAAGAAGGACAAGAAGGACAAGAAGGACAAGAAGGACAAGAAGGACAAGAAGGACAAGAAGGACAAGAAGGACAAGAAGGACAAGAAGGACAAGAAGGACAAGAAGGACAAGAAGGACAAGAAGGACAAGAAGGACAAGAAGGACAAGAAGGACAAGAAGGACAAGGAGGGGAGACACAGAAGCACATGGCATGTAGTGCAGGAAATGAGGATAAGGCACGTGGCGCTCTGCTGTGCAATAGAAGACCATGGAGTAGACCTCTTTGCCTGCTGGCACCTGGTGGAAGAAAAAGGAAGAAGGACAAGAAGGACAAGAAGGACAAGAAGGACAAGAAGGACAAGAAGGACAAGAAGGACAAGAAGGACAAGAAGGACAAGAAGGACAAGACGGACAAGAAGGACAAGGAGGGGAGACACAGAAGCACATGGCATGTAGTGCAGGAAATGAGGATAAGGCACGTGGCGCTCTGCTGTGCAATAGAAGACCATGGAGTAGACCTCTTTGCCTGCTGGCACCTGGTGGAAGAAAAAGGAAGAAGGACAAGAAGGACAAGAAGGACAAGAAGGACAAGAAGGACAAGAAGGACAAGAAGGACAAGAAGGACAAGAAGGACAAGAAGGACAAGACGGACAAGAAGGACAAGGAGGGGAGACACAGAAGCACATGGCATGTAGTGCAGGAAATGAGGATAAGGCACGTGGCGCTCTGCTGTGCAATAGAAGACCATGGAGTAGACCTCTTTGCCTGCTGGCACCTGGTGGAAGAAAAAGGAAGAAGGACAAGAAGGACAAGAAGGACAAGAAGGACAAGAAGGACAAGAAGGACAAGAAGGACAAGAAGGACAAGAAGGACAAGAAGGACAAGAAGGACAAGAAGGACAAGAAGGACAAGAAGGACAAGAAGGACAAGAAGGACAAGGAGGGGAGACACAGAAGCACATGGCATGTAGTGCAGGAAATGAGGATAAGGCACGTGGCGCTCTGCTGTGCAATAGAAGACCATGGAGTAGACAGCGTTGCCTGCTGGCACCTGGTGGAAGAAAAAGGAAGAAGGACAAGAAGGACAAGAAGGACAAGAAGGACAAGAAGGACAAGAAGGACAAGAAGGACAAGAAGGACAAGAAGGACAAGAAGGACAAGAAGGACAAGAAGGACAAGAAGGACAAGAAGGACAAGAAGGACAAGAAGGACAAGAAGGACAAGAAGGACAAGAAGGACAAGAAGGACAAGAAGGACAAGAAGGACAAGAAGGACAAGAAGGACAAGAAGGACAAGAAGGACAAGAAGGACAAGAAGGACAAGGAGGGGAGACACAGAAGCACATGGCATGTAGTGCAGGAAATGAGGATAAGGCACGTGGCGCTCTGCTGTGCAATAGAAGACCATGGAGTAGACAGCGTTGCCTGCTGGCACCTGGTGGAAGAAAAAGGAAGAAGGACAAGAAGGACAAGAAGGACAAGAAGGACAAGAAGGACAAGAAGGACAAGAAGGACAAGAAGGACAAGAAGGACAAGAAGGACAAGAAGGACAAGAAGGACAAGAAGGACAAGAAGGACAAGAAGGACAAGAAGGACAAGAAGGACAAGAAGGACAAGAAGGACAAGAAGGACAAGGAGGGGAGACACAGAAGCACATGGCATGTAGTGCAGGAAATGAGGATAAGGCACGTGGCGCTCTGCTGTGCAATAGAAGACCATGGAGTAGACCTCTTTGCCTGCTGGCACCTGGTGGAAGAAAAAGGAAGAAGGACAAGAAGGACAAGAAGGACAAGAAGGACAAGAAGGACAAGAAGGACAAGAAGGACAAGAAGGACAAGAAGGACAAGAAGGACAAGAAGGACAAGAAGGACAAGGAGGGGAGACACAGAAGCACATGGCATGTAGTGCAGGAAATGAGGATAAGGCACGTGGCGCTCTGCTGTGCAATAGAAGACCATGGAGTAGACCTCTTTGCCTGCTGGCACCTGGTGGAAGAAAAAGGAAGAAGGACAAGAAGGACAAGAAGGACAAGAAGGACAAGAAGGACAAGAAGGACAAGAAGGACAAGAAGGACAAGGAGGGGAGACACAGAAGCACATGGCATGTAGTGCAGGAAATGAGGATAAGGCACGTGGCGCTCTGCTGTGCAATAGAAGACCATGGAGTAGACCTCTTTGCCTGCTGGCACCTGGTGGAAGAAAAAGCAAGAAGGACAACAAGGACAAGAAGGACAAGAAGGACAAGAAGGACAAGAAGGACAAGAAGGACAAGAAGGACAAGAAGGACAAGAAGGACAAGAAGGACAAGAAGGACAAGAAGGACAAGAAGGACAAGAAGGACAAGGAGGGGAGACACAGAAGCACATGGCATGTAGTGCAGGAAATGAGGATAAGGCACGTGGCGCTCTGCTGTGCAATAGAAGACCATGGAGTAGACAGCGTTGCCTGCTGGCACCTGGTGGAAGAAAAAGGAAGAAGGACAAGAAGGACAAGAAGGACAAGAAGGACAAGAAGGACAAGAAGGACAAGAAGGACAAGAAGGACAAGAAGGACAAGAAGGACAAGAAGGACAAGAAGGACAAGAAGGACAAGAAGGACAAGAAGGACAAGAAGGACAAGAAGGACAAGGAGGGGAGACACAGAAGCACATGGCATGTAGTGCAGGAAATGAGGATAAGGCACGTGGCGCTCTGCTGTGCAATAGAAGACCATGGAGTAGACCTCTTTGCCTGCTGGCACCTGGTGGAAAAAGGAAGAAGGACAAGAAGGACAAGAAGGACAAGAAGGACAAGAAGGACAAGAAGGACAAGAAGGACAAGAAGGACAAGAAGGACAAGAAGGACAAGAAGGACAAGAAGGACAAGAAGGAAAAGAAGGACAAGAAGGACAAGAAGGACAAGAAGGACAAGAAGGACAAGAAGGACAAGAAGGACAAGAAGGACAAGAAGGACAAGAAGGACAAGAAGGACAAGAAGGACAAGAAGGACAAGAAGGACAAGAAGGACAAGAAGGACAAGAAGGACAAGAAGGACAAGAAGGACAAGGAGGGGAGACACAGAAGCACATGGCATGTAGTGCAGGAAATGAGGATAAGGCACGTGGCGCTCTGCTGTGCAATAGAAGACCATGGAGTAGACCTCTTTGCCTGCTGGCACCTGGTGGAAGAAAAAGGAAGAAGGACAAGAAGGACAAGAAGGACAAGAAGGACAAGAAGGACAAGAAGGACAAGAAGGACAAGAAGGACAAGAAGGACAAGAAGGACAAGAAGGACAAGAAGGACAAGAAGGACAAGAAGGACAAGAAGGACAAGAAGGACAAGAAGGACAAGAAGGACAAGGAGGGGAGACACAGAAGCACATGGCATGTAGTGCAGGAAATGAGGATAAGGCACGTGGCGCTCTGCTGTGCAATAGAAGACCATGGAGTAGACCTCTTTGCCTGCTGGCACCTGGTGGAAGAAAAAGGAAGAAGGACAAGAAGGACAAGAAGGACAAGAAGGACAAGAAGGACAAGAAGGACAAGAAGGACAAGAAGGACAAGGAGGGGAGACACAGAAGCACATGGCATGTAGTGCAGGAAATGAGGATAAGGCACGTGGCGCTCTGCTGTGCAATAGAAGACCATGGAGTAGACCTCTTTGCCTGCTGGCACCTGGTGGAAGAAAAAGGAAGAAGGACAAGAAGGACAAGAAGGACAAGAAGGACAAGAAGGACAAGAAGGACAAGAAGGACAAGAAGGACAAGAAGGACAAGAAGGACAAAAAGGACAAGGAGGGGAGACACAGAAGCACATGGCATGTAGTGCAGGAAATGAGGATAAGGCACGTGGCGCTCTGCTGTGCAATAGAAGACCATGGAGTAGACCTCTTTGCCTGCTGGCACCTGGTGGAAGAAAAAGGAAGAAGGACAAGAAGGACAAGAAGGACAAGAAGGACAAGAAGGACAAGAAGGACAAGAAGGACAAGAAGGACAAGAAGGACAAGAAGGACAAGAAGGACAAGGAGGGGAGACACAGAAGCACATGGCATGTAGTTCAGGAAATGAGGATAAGGCACGTGGCGCTCTGCTGTGCAATAGAAGACCATGGAGTAGACCTCTTTGCCTGCTGGCACCTGGTGGAAGAAAAAGGAAGAAGGACAAGAAGGACAAGAAGGACAAGAAGGACAAGAAGGACAAGAAGGACAAGAAGGACAAGAAGGACAAGAAGGACAAGAAGGACAAGAAGGACAAGAAGGACAAGAAGGACAAGAAGGACAAGGAGGGGAGACACAGAAGCACATGGCATGTAGTGCAGGAAATGAGGATAAGGCACGTGGCGCTCTGCTGTGCAATAGAAGACCATGGAGTAGACCTCTTTGCCTGCTGGCACCTGGTGGAAGAAAAAGGAAGAAGGACAAGAAGGACAAGAAGGACAAGAAGGACAAGAAGGACAAGAAGGACAAGAAGGACAAGAAGGACAAGAAGGACAAGAAGGACAAGGAGGGGAGACACAGAAGCACATGGCATGTAGTGCAGGAAATGAGGATAAGGCACGTGGCGCTCTGCTGTGCAATAGAAGACCATGGAGTAGACCTCTTTGCCTGCTGGCACCTGGTGGAAGAAAAAGGAAGAAGGACAAGAAGGACAAGAAGGACAAGAAGGACAAGAAGGACAAGAAGGACAAGAAGGACAAGAAGGACAAGAAGGACAAGGAGGGGAGACACAGAAGCACATGGCATGTAGTGCAGGAAATGAGGATAAGGCACGTGGCGCTCTGCTGTGCAATAGAAGACCATGGAGTAGACCTCTTTGCCTGCTGGCACCTGGTGGGGAGGGGAGAGGCACGACGAATGCTACGTGCATCAGCTGATGGGTGAGGGGTTCCTTTCCTTACAAGAACACACCAACACTAAGAACAAAATCTATCGGGAAAGGATGCAGGGGAACGGTAACTGTAGGTTGATGGGGTGGGGATGAAGAGCGGTACCTGGAGGTTGATGAGGATGAAGAACGGTGCCTGGTCTCCATAGCAGGCCCTTACTCTCTGCATGGGAAACATTTGCAGGTAGGGACACAAAGGAAGGAAAGCATCAATCAGTGGTTTGCTTTCAGCATCCCAGAATCACTACACCGCACACCACCAAGGAGCACAGCACAGCACTGCACCGCACTGCACACCACAGCACTGCACATCACACCCCCTTGGCTCACCTGCACGAGGCACTTCTTGTGGGCTGCCACGTGTGCAGCAGGGTGCTTCTCTAAAACCACACTCCGGGCCACAACACACCAACTACACAGCACCGTACTGCACACTACCGCACAGCACCGCATCACACCCCCTGGCTCACCTGCACGAGGCACTTCTTGTGGGCTGCCACGTGGGCTGCAGGGTGCTTCTCTGGCCGCAGCCAATCCACCGCCACCAGCTGGCAGAGCGGCTCGCCAGCTGGCGCCTGCACGACCAGACACATAGAGTAGTCAATAGGAAGAAGAGGGATGAACAGGGGTGGGGGGGGGGGGAAAGACAAGTGCCATGGGAAAGAAAGACAAGGGAGGGGATGTGGGTGGGCGTGTAGTATATCCTTATGCTTGACAATATACCACAGTTTTTTTTTTAAGATTCTGCTTTTGAGTCGACTCAAAAGTTGACAATATACCACAGTTTTTCAAAAGGATTCTACAAACACCCCATCATGTATGACACGGCTTATAAGACACTAGGCTCACACCCACCATGCTGCCATCAGTGAGGTAGCTCCTGCTCCTCAGCTTGTACACATTGCAATCCGGCCGGCTCCAGCAGTTCTTGCCCTTGCCCGAGTGGTTGGGGGCCACGGACCCGCTCAGCTTGCTCCAGTCGATGAAGAGTGGGAGGGAGAGGGAGTCTGGGGTCAGGTCTCGAGGCACAGAGGACCAATCTGGAGTAGGGAGAGTGGGAGGGGAAGTGGGAGCAGAAAAAGAGGAGAAACGGGTGGTTGGGGGCCACGGAGCCGCTCAGCTTGGTCCAGTCGATGAAGAGAGGCAGAGAGAGGGAATCGGGAGTCAGGTCCCTAGGAACGGAGGACCAGTCTGCAAGAGGGGGAGTAGGAGGGGGAACAGGGAAGAAGAGGGTGGTTGGGGGCCACGGCCCCGCTCAGCTTGCTCCAGTCGATGAAGAGAGGCAGGAAAAACAGCACTGCAAGCAGATAATGCCAGGCTCTTGGGAACTAGAAAGCATCTGGACCGTCCACTCACCATCGGGGAGCTTGGAAGCATCTACACCGTCCACCATGACTCCTGACAAGTCCCTCTGCAGCACGCCCTGAAGGGGAGGGGACCCAGTGGGAGAGGAGGGGAAGCAAGTGATTTCTAGAGTGCACCCTACGAGGGAGGTTGAGGAACGGAATGAGTGTCGCTCGTGCTCGAGACGACAACACTTGGTCCAACCAGAAAGCCCTCTTCCCATTCCCCCACACCTCCCCACCTCCCCCCTCCATGCCTGTCACTCACATCACTAGACGTTTCCAAAGGAGCGTTGGTGCGGCACTCATAAAACTCATCCAGGTCCTCCATATCCAAAAAGCTGGACAGCGCTCGGTGCAACCAACCTGGGAGTTCTCTCTCCCATCGCCCCCCACCTCGCCACCTTCCCTTCCCCCCCCTTTCCGTAGTATGCACTCATAGAACTCGTCTGGGACCTCCATGTCTAGAAAGTTTGAAAGCGCGCACTCTAACCAGCCTGGGGGTCCTCCTCCCATTCCCCCCCCACCTTGCCACCTCGCCACCTCCCTACCTCCTCACCTGCCCACCTCAACCTACAATACTTGGCACTCACATCACTAGAAGTCTCTGAGGGAGCGTTGGTGCGGCACTCATAGAACTCGTCCGGGTCCTCCATGTCCAAAAAGTTAGACAATGCTCGGTCCAACCTGGGGGTTCTCCTCCCATCCCCCCCCACCTCGCCCTTCCCTCCTGCTGCCACCGCCGCTGCCGCCGCTGCCACCACAGCCGCTGCCACCGCCCCTCCCAGTCCAGCCGAACCCCTATCCGTACTCACAGCCACCCCCCCTCCTGCTGCTCCCCCTATTGCTCCTCCTCTCCCTGTTCCCCCTCCTCCTCCTGTCTCCTCTTGGCTCTTCCCATCCTCTGTTCCGAGGCTAACCAGGGACGCCAGGCCCCACGTCCCCGAACCAGCTCCCGAGCCTGACCCCATGGCTGAGCCCGAGGCTAGGCCGGAGAAGATAAAGCCACCTGTGGGTCCCGTACTGATGGCTGAGGTGGTGGGGAAGATGAGATGGCGTTGGATGCCCAGGGAGTAGTAGGCTAGAGGGGCTCCTCCCCTGCAGGCGAAGTACTCTCTCAGACCTGGTGGAAGGAGGGAGTGGAGGAGGGACGTGTGGTGAGAGGGAGAGAGGGACGAATTGAGAGGGCATTAAATTCCGACTTGTAGGCATGTGACACGTGACACCTGACACATGGCACATGGCACATAGCATATGGCGCATGTCACATGGCAAACGGCTCATAATACCCATGACATGCACCAAGTAGTAATACTCAACGCCATGGAGCATTGCAAACTGCTCCGAGTGGCTGGTGAGAGTACTCCGAGTGCCATACTCACCAGCCACTCGGAGCAGCAAGGAGTCTCGGAGGTGTGCGGGATGCGACGACAGCCCGATGCCGATCCATGACGACCACCCTGACACGTCCATCTCCAACACGTGCTCCACCTGGGGGGCGGAAGAGTGAGATGGGGAAGATGACCTGCGGCACTCCCCCCTCAGGTCATCTCAACCAATCCAAGAGGACCACCCTGACACGTCCATCTCCAACACGTGCTCCACCTGTGAAGGGAGGGTGGGGTAGAAGCATGGGGAAGATGATTGGAGGAGGGTAAAAGGTGGAGTCTAGGTCAATCCTCAACCAACCAGCCGATGAGGAGCATCCTGACACGTCCATCTGCAACACGTGCTCCACGTGGGGGAAGATGAACAGAGGTGACACCGGTATGTGTGGTGAACAGAGTAGCACAGGCACGGGGTGGGGAGGAGGTCACACCTCTCAATCAATCCATAAGGATCTCATGCTGGGGCACGTGTTGACTTTTGACTTTTGACCACACTCAACAGTCCATAAGGATCTCATGCTGGGGCACGTGTTGACTTTTGACTTTGACCACACTCAACAGTCCATGAGGTTCTCATGTTGGGGCATGTGTTGGAGATGGGCAACATGAGGTCCCATCTCCAACACGTGCTCCACCTGAAGTGGCCGTTCAGTAGTGACGTTGGGCAGACGAAGGGCGGAGGGTAGAAGGTAGTGGGCTTCAGATCAGTCCTCAACTCAACCAGCCCGTGATGACCATCCCAGACCTTGAGGGTGGGGGAAGGGTTGAGACTGGATGGTAGCATGGGGCATGGGGCATGGGGAAGGGCGAGGCGAGGAGCAAGGCGAGGGAAATGGGTTGCTCAGGGGACCTGCGACACCTCAAAGGCCCGCACTCACCACACCTACCACACGCACCACACTCACCACACCTACCACACTCACCACACTTACCACACTCACCACACTTACCACACTTACCACACTCACCACACTTACCACACTCACCACACTTACCACACTTACCACACTCACCACACTTACCACAACGCACCACACTCACCACACTCACCATACATACCATACTCACCACTCTTGTGGAAATGGGGAAGGGTCACCTGCGAGCGAGGCTTGTGGGGGGGTGGTGGGTCGCAGGTGCAAGGCCATGGGAAAGGGCTGTAGATAAATTGCACAGCACAACTGTGATACTCACCACAAATACCCACACTCATCACACGCACCATACTCACCACATTGAGTAAGAAAGGAAATGGGGAAGGATCACCTGCGAGCGAGGCTTGCGGGGGGGTGGTGGGCCGCAAGTGCAAGGCTGGGGTGAAAGGGGGCCGTCGCTATGCTGCAGGGGCGATATGATGTAGCCGCCGCCTGGTGCAGATGGGTGGAGAGCGGTGACAGAGGATGAACGACATAATGAGCTGCAGTGCAGCAACGAGATGATGTAGACACCGCTTGGTGCGGATGGGTGGAGAGTGGTGACAGAGACGAGTGTGTGAGCTAGACAGAGTGAGGTATGCTTGCTGCAGGGGCGATATGATGTAGCCACCGCCGGGTGCGGATGGGTGGAGAATGGTGACATAGACGCGGAATTCTCTGTATAAAAGCGCACTCACTGTAGATGAGAGCACGGACGCGGCCCCACGGCCGATGGCACTTGGGGTGGCTCACAGACTTGAAAAAGACCACTGGTGGAGGGGTGAATCAGGGATGAGTAATGGAGGTTGGGAAGTGCGGAATGCGGAATGGGAAAAGGAGAATGGGGAATGCGCGTGGGGAACGAGGATGGGGAATGGGAATTCTGGGGTAGGGAGCGGGGAATGCAGAATGAGGAACTGTGAACAGGAACCCAGGAACTGGGATTCAAGAACACACACACAAAGCAGGGTAAATGTGATGTTTTCCCTCGACTCGAAAACCCAACACAAGAAGCCATGTTGAAACCATTAGAATAAAGGCGGCACGCGACAGACATACTTCGGCAACACCAATGACAGACTACAATCTCTCAGATTGTAAAAGTGAGGGTTTAAGCCAACACAGGTTCGCCTCAGACATGTCTGAAGATTTGTTAGGGGTAAACATGCAATCGTGGGGCACCGCTAGAGGTGCATATGGTAAGTTTCGTTTGGGGCAGAGCGAGGGTACAACACACACAAGGCAAGAAGCGCTAGGCCCACACACATGGGGGATAGGACCAGACGTACATACGGTAGGTTCCGTTCACGGGGCAGGGAGAGGATATCACACACACAAGGCATGAAGCGGTAGAGACAGACACATAAACACACAGGGGGGTAGGGTCAGACGTTCATACGGTAAGTTCCATTTTCTTCTCTCTTCCAGTATCGCAGCAGACACAGGTCTCTCGATCTTGTCCACCTGATTGGCAGATCGTGAAAAAAAAGGGAGGATGAAAGAGGAGAAAACGAGGAGAAAACGAGGAGAAAAAAAAGAGAAGAATAAGAGTTCACACCAAACCAGCAGTGACAGCAGGACCTGCAGAGAGTGGTATTGCGGCTTGCATGGATGGATCATGGTTGCCCTACATAGTTGGGTTGTGAGTCGACTCAAAATACATAGTTGAGAACATGATGGATCCATGTGCACTCCCCCCGCACATGCAAGTGCAGGCATGTGCCACTCGTTACAGTGAAGTTTGTTTTGAGCATGCATGCACTTACAGTGACACTCGTTTCAAGCACATATGCACCACAACACACCCCCATTCCGCTTACAGAGAGGTGAGTTTCAAGCACACGCGCACGACACCATACCCCCATTCCCCTTACAGCGAGGTTCGTTTTAAGCACATGTGCACCACGTCTGTGTGACCATCAATAGCCTCCACCACTCGTGCCTCTGCAAACATGGCATCCCACCTGCTCGCACTCACACAGGGAGTGGGGGTGATGGGGACACACAGGAAGGGGTTGGGCACACAGTGAGTAGTGTAAGCAGCAAGTGAGGCTCCTCGAAGTGTGACCATCAATGGCCTCCACCACTCGCGCCTCTGCAAACATGGCATCCCACCTGTCCGCACATTCACAGGGGGGGGCGGCGGGGAGGGGACACACACAGGGAAGGTTAGACACACACAGAGTGTTGCCCTCGAAGCCCCTCCACCATTTGCGCCTCTGCAAACATGGCGTCCCACCTGCCCACATGCACACACAAATGCAGACAAAACCACACCCACACACACAACGGGAAATGGACACACAGAGTGTTGCAGTCCCTCAACATGTGGCCTCCACGACTCGTGCCCCCGTAACCATGACGTTCCAATGCATGGGGGGGCGCGCATACAGAGACAGGGTGATGAGAATTCCCAAAACACTGTGCATAGAGCATAGACTACTTTTGAGGCGCCTCATAACACTGTGCATAGAGCATAGACTGATTCTCACGAAAAGACCACTCACTCTGCTCGCTCCTCCCCAAAGCTCATAACGAGGTCGACTATCTAGTCTGGTGTGGCCTTCACCACTCCCACTGCTGACATGTGAAGTTTAAGGCGACTCAACGAGACATCTTTTCTAGTTGACTCATAGACCAGGCAGAAATACTCACTCTGCTCGCTCCTCCCCAAAGCTCATAACGAGGTCGAATATCTGGTCTGGTGCCGCCTTCACCACTCCCACTGCTTTCATCACAGGCAACTGGGGGATAGGAGGCAGAGAAGGGAGGCACAGGGTTGGCACAGGAAGGGTGCAATAAGGACTTTTGTCGACTCAAAGTTACCAAATATCTGTTCTGGTGACGCCTTCACCACTCCCACTGCTTTCATCACAGGCAACTGGGGAAAGGGAGGCAGGGAAGGAAGGCATGACACAGTAAGGATGCAATGTGTCAACGCATACATACACAGATGGGACGCGCGCGCGCGCACACACACACACCCGAAACCCTCTGGTACCTTGTATAGGCGGTGGAGAATGGGCGTCCTGCTGGCCTCCTCAAAGAATCGAAGCCCTGGAGGGAAGGGAGCGAGCGACATACAAGGAACACAGGCACCACCACAGAGTAGTGAGTCTTGAGTCGACGGCAGCAGGCAGCAGGTGAGGAACACAGGAGCACAGCACAACGCCACCCACAGCACAAACATGATAAAAGTGAATTTTTGAGACGTCTCAAAAAAGGAGCACAGCACAACCCCACCCACCGCACAAACCGTTCTGGCACCGGTCGAAACAACACTTGGGGGGTGACAGGGAGACACACGAGGACCACGGATACCCAGCAATATTGGAGTGACTTTTGAGAATTCTCAAAAGGCACAACAGTCTCACACAAGCGAAACTGGCCCACACACAGTATACACCCACAGCAGCCCAGCACGGCCCGTTCTGGCAGCGGTAGAGACAACACTTGGAGGGCGACAGGGTGAGATAAGAGAATCAAGGATTCCCAACACATGAAGAAGAAAAATAGGGTCACACGCAACCAACACCCACCCCACTTCAGCCAAGCACGGACCGTTCTGACAGCGGTCAAGGCGCCACTTGGATTGCGACGCAACAACAGCAGATGATGGGGAGGAAGAGGTGGGAACAGGAGGAGGAGGAGCGTGGGAGGACGAGGAGGGCAGATGCTGCTGATGCGAAGGCGGTGCATGGGAACCTGGCCTGTCAAAAGATGATGCCACCCTGGTTGACCCTGCCACTCCCGCACCTGCCCCCCCTCCTGCCCCTGCCCCTGCCCCACCACCTGTTCCCTGCCCAGGGCCAACAACCCCACCGGAGCTTCGGGTGAGAGATAATGAGTCGAGGGGGGAGTGGGTGGGGAGGAGCGGGGACGAGGGGGAGGGGGTGGGCTGGAAGGAGAGAGCGGGAGAGGAGCCCGTGGGAGGAGTGAGCATGCCGCTGCTGTCCCCCCCACTGCCGGAACCACTGTCAGCAGCAGCAGGAGAAGCACCAGAAGCAGCAGCAATAGCAGAGGCAGCAGCAGCAGCTGGCAGCACCGGTTGACAGGGCTGTGCTGCTGCACGCTTTGCTTGTGGGCCGATCGGAGGCAGAGAGGGGGAGATGGCGGGAGACAGGGAGGGGTGGATGGAAGGAGAGAGAGTCCTCCTCACACTAGCTGTGGCAGCTGCAGTGGCAGGGGCAGCAGCAGCCGCTGCAGCAGACGCGAGAGGGAGCATGGCCGCAGCAGCAGGATTCATAGCAGCAGCTGCGGGGAGCATAAGATTGGCCATAGAGGCAGCGGCCGAAGCAGGATTAGCAGCAGCGGCAACAGCAGAAGCAACAGGATCAGCAGCAGCGGCGGCAGCAGCAGCAGCAACTGGACCCAAAGCAGCAGCAGCTGGGAACATCATATTAGCCATCGCACCAGCGGCAGCGGCTGGATCGGCAGCAGCGACGGCAGCTGCAGCAGCGGGATCGGCAGCAGCTGCGGCAACAGCAGCCGCAGCTGGGAACATCATATTTCCCATAGCAGCAGCAGTGGCGGCTGGATCAGCAGCAGCCGCGGCAGCTGCAGCAGCAGGTTCGGCAGCAGCAGCGGCAGCAGCAGCAGCAGCTGGGTGGAAAGAAGCCACAGCAGGGAGGGCCAGATTTGTCACATCAGCAGATGACGGAGGGGCGCCAAAGAGGGAATGAGCAGCGGCGGCTGGCGTGGCAAGGGATGGGGCGTGGGCTGAAATTCGAGAGCCAATGAGGTCTGGTGAGGAAGACGACGCAGACTTAGCCTGCGGGGACCTGGGATATGGGAGGCAGCGGCACATACACAGACGGGGGGGAAGACGACGCAGACTTAGCCTGCGGGGACCTGGGATATGGGAAGCAGCGGCACATACACAGACGGGGGGGAAGAGCAGAAGAGGTACGGGATGGGGCGTGGGCTGGAATTAGAGAGCCAATGAGGTCCGGTGAGGAAGACGACACAGAATTTGCCTGCAGGGACCTGGGGTATGGGAGGCAGAGGCACAACAAGCAGGGATTGAGCAGAGGTAGTAAGGGATGTGATTTGAGCTAACACTGAAGAGCCGAAGAGGTTGGGTGAAGGAAGACGTAGTAGACTTAGCCTGTGGGGACCTGGGGAAAGTGAGGCACAGGGACTAGCACGAAAGAGGGGAAGCGCAGGCAAGGCAGAGAGAGACGGACGGGGGGGTATGGTGGGGCCTTGAGGGAGAGGAGAGATAGCGTGCAAAGCATTCAGACTTTAGTTGGTTCAGGGCATGGCGTGTTTCAGGTTCAACTATTTAAAAAGGACAGGATGAAGAACATGGTTGACAAAGCCCAAGGACTAAAAGAATACCAGGAGAATCATGCAATAAGCTTGCTGAGCTTGGGTGAAACGGGACTGGTGTTCTCAACTCACCGTGACATTGGGCTATCATCTTGACCAGTCCGAGTGGACGGAACTTGCCGTGGTGACTTCGGCGGTTTTGAGGAATGTGATGGTGTTCGTAACGGTTGTAATGGGTGCGACGGTTGTTGTAATGGGTGTGACGGTTGTGACGGCTGGGTTGGGGCGTCGGCCGCTGGTGTGAGCAGAGGCGGGGGCGGCTGTTGATTGAGTGGCAACAGGGGCGAACGGCATGAAGTGGCAGTGGGGGTTTAGGCATGAAGTAGCAGTGGGAGCGAATGGCATTAACTGTCAGTGGGCTGAATGGCATGACGTGTCAGCAGCAGGGGCGAATGGCATGAAGTGGCGGTGGAAGAGGAGAAGAAAGGACCAACATGAGGAGAAGGAGACAGGGACAGGGACAGGGACAGGGAGAGAGGCGAGGAGTATTGAGGGACAAAGACGGTTCCCATGGGAGCATGTCGCAGAGAAGCAACTTGCAATTCCGGCAGCAAGGAGGACATGACATACACCATACTCCATCGGGAATACCCACATAAGATTTCCGTCCGAGTGAATCAAGCTCACTTGGGTGGGATACCTTGTTAGACCTCAAGCTGGCTAAAGCTGACAGGGACACACAGCCGGACATACAGCCTGAGCGTTTGACACGTCTCAAAAACTATTTTTTATCACGTTGCAAGCTGAATAAAGCTGACAGGGACATACAGCCAGAGCAGGCAGGCAGATACACAGACCAGAGTGAGTGCCTTGGTGATAGCATCGATCCACTCAGCAGCGTCCTCTGCACTCGGCGTTCCCAGCTGCAGACACAGATGGCAGAGCGAAAACAGCAGACGGAAAGAGAAGTTGGGTTGAGATGACTTTTGAGTCGACTCAAAAGCCATCTCGCTCCCAGCTGCAGACATGGATGGCAGAGCGAGATTAATAGACAGAAAGAGAAGCTGGATAGGGGGAACGGATTGAGCAGACGGGCTAAAGCAGGCGGAATGAAACCGAATGAGTCACTTACAAAGGCATGTACGCTTCACAAAATGTACATGAAAGCACGAGCAGATTACAAGCATATGCTCCCACCGACAAGAATACAAGCAGCACCCACTGACACGAGCACATGCAGCACCCACTTACACTTCTCTTCTGCTGCCACTGAACCCCCACCGGCCTCACAGCGAGTGGGCAACTTTTCTATGGGTATCCTGAGTCGGCCCAAGAACCAAGCAAGAGCAAATCATACGCATATCCACCCACCGACAAGAGCATGTGCAGCACGCACCGACACTTGTCTTCTGTTGCCACTGGAGCCCCCAGCAGGCCTCACGGTGTGGAGCTTCTGCGGCTGCCTATCCTGCCACAGTTCAGACCACCACCCTCCCCACAGACTTGACTCCATCCTCTGAATACCCCCCCCTGCCCCTCCCATTCCCCCTCCTCCGCCGCTACCACCGCCATCCGCGCTGCTTCCTCCGCTTCCCCCTCCGCCAGCCAAGGAGCTTCCGCCGAATAAGCCTCCCCCGGTTGAGCCTCCACTGCCGAATAAACCTGTTGATGTGCGCGCCAAGTAACCGCTGCCGGTACCGGCTTCTGCTGAGCTGTCAGGGTCATCTTCTTCGTCCTCGCTAAGGTCATCCTCGTCAGTAGCATGGTGCGCCCCAGGCATGCCGTACAGACGCATCGTGTACAGTACCTGAGAGGAAATTGGTGGCATTAGCATTACAAAATATTAATTAGATGCCTTGGATTGTACATGTAGTTATAGCAGATTTAAAGAAATTAAGCGTGTGTCAGACGAGACCATGGAGAGTGAAACTGATGATTCCCCACCTGACCATTGACGACTTTTCTGCCCGTGTCCTCAACCCGAGCAGTGCCATCAAGCAAGCCCTCTCGCAGAGGTATCTGGTCAAGCATGGAAGGTGAAAACAGCATCACCGCTGAGTTTACAATCTAAAAAAATAGCCATGAAGATGACGTTCCAATCTTTGAGGATATGTTGCTCGATTTGTTTTATTACCATTGAATATTAGCAAGTGCAAACAACTGCTTAGAGCAGAGTTTGACGTTGCGAATTTCCAACGCGGTTTGTGAAAGACGGCTGCACGAGAAGAGCTGTGCTTTCGATCCTCATGCCTATAGGCACCTAATAATTGGCCAGACGCCTCATCATGAATACCATACCCTAGAGAACTAATCAGGTACAATATCGGACCATTGCCTCGATATAACGCACCTCGTCTTCCTTATTGCGAAACTGCGCGAAGTATCTCCCTCGGAGCACGCAGAAAGTCAACTGGCAGTAAGTGCCTTCGCCAGACCTGAAGCTGCCGAACCTATAGAGGTAACCGTCCATTACCATCTCCTCCATACTTAACCGTTCCTCAGATAGCGATGGAATTGCTACAACGTGTTATGATTCTTCGCAGTGATACTGTCTGGACAGCAAATTGTGAAAACAAAAACGAAAAAGCGTGAGCGGTTGCTAAGACGACCTGGTTTCCTGCTGCTTCAAGCCCTAGCCTGAAAGCTGCCTACTCGAGCTGCTAAAAATGATGAGTTGCGACGAACCTCTCATCTGCGAGGCTAGCTAATGGCGGCTACTTCCCAGCTGCTAACTAGCTCCATAATTATATTTGGGAAACTCGGCTTGTGGAGTTTGTAGCTTGGCACCAGCACATTCCGCAAGATGATCGCGAGGGGAAGCAATTGCTTCGCAGAGAAGGAATGGCCAGGGGGGCTACGAAGCGGAGGTGGGGGTACTGGAGGGGGGTTGGATTACGAGGGGGAAATGCGGAAGTCGCTGCGGAGTGGCGCAAGAGCGGCGTCGGTCGCCTGTCAGCTCACCACCACCGTGGCTCCGCGAAGAAGAGGGCTTCTTGGGATTGGCTGGCAGGTACCTTTTGCCAAGTCGCGGTCAACAAGCGGTTGCAGCAACAAGGCTGTTAACACCGTCGGATCGAGACAACGGATTTCATCTGACGGTGCATATCTATGTTTGTGACTCGACAAGGTTGAGTTTTGCTGCCATTCCCGCACTTTTCCGTGCTTTCACAGCCAATCGGAGAAGCCCACCTCATGTTTGCGCGGGAAAGTATGAAACAGTGCCGAAGTGTACCAGACAAGTTCTACGGTATATGATTTCAATAAAAAATTACAGACAAATGGTCAAAAGCATCACATTCTTTGTTGGGTTGAGAGGGGTCTTCTCCCCCAACCATTACAAAAACCTGGACCAAGCAAGAAACCTTACGTCAGCAGGACCAAGCGAGTTGCAACGCCACACCATTTGGTTAAACATATTTTACATGCTAAGATTGAGTCATGTTCCCTTGCGTCACTGCGATACGGTAAGCCACTTCCACGTCAACAAATCATGCTCCTTGTAACGAGATTGCTACCCCAGAGCTCTCAAATCCCGAGGGAGCAGCTCTGCCTGTCTTGTTTCCACACCTCTTCACTCCCAACCCACTCCCGAAACCACCCCCAGAGGAACCATCATGCACGTCTGGTTCTCGGCCCGGGTGGCTCAACTCTACATGTTCCCCACACTCTTCCCCCTCCCCCGTCCCTTCCCCCTGCCCTTCTCTCTCCGCCTCCCCCTCCACCTCCCCATCCTCGTTCAACTCATCAGACCCCACCTCCTCCCACACCTCATCATCACTCTCCTCCTCCTCCACTCCATGCCCCTTCCCCCGCACACTCGCCCTGTACGCAGCGAGACTGCCATTCACCCCCACATGGCTCCACGAGTTGTTACCCGGTAACAGGAAATCCCCACTGATGGGCGGAACAAACGCCCCATCCAATGACGCCGCTGCATCTGCCGCCTCGGCTGCAGCTACCCGTTTTTCTGCCCGGCGCTCTTCCCTGCTGCCCGAATGTGCGTCCCAACTCGGGCTTTCCACCAGGGGGTCGTTCTCTGGGCCGCTACTAACCCCTCTCCCTTCTGCTGCCTTGGCTGCTTTCTTCATTCGCTTGGCATGCACTTGCCGCGGCAGCACATCAAATATGAAGTTCCCTCCTGTAATAGGTTGCAGAGAAGAAACAAAGAACAATGAAGGAAGATAAGCAAGGAAACCAGATGCTGAGTGGAACAAGAACGTTAAGTTATAGGACGTGTAAAAACACCCCCCCCCCAACGGGTCAGGCGCAGTAGTTAACAAGCCAACAAGTCGCATAGCTGGATTCGAAATACCCCCCAGAATACCTGTCCTGCAAGGCCCAAATAGAAGCTAAACAAACCAGCAGAACCCAAATCGTGGGTACACTACTTTCTTAATTTTCTTGCCATATTGAACCCGAAACACTAAACCCGAAACACAAAACCCGAAACACTAAACCATGTACCCACCGTTCCAGATGGAGGCAGCGATTTTGAAGATCTGGAAGAGCGCGTGGAAGCGGTAGCTGCAGAACATGGGCACTGTGAGAGCTACTGTGGCCACCTGCAGAAGGACAGGGCAGAAGACATACAATGGAGAAGAGATGAGAATCTTATCAGTGCATGGAAGCACGTAAGAGTGCATGGAAGCGGTAGCTGCAGAACATGGGCACTGTGAGAGCTACTGTGGCCACCTGCAGAAGGACAGGGCAGAAGACAGACAATGGCGAAGAGATGAGAATGAGATGAGAATCTTATCAGTGCATGGAAGCACGTAAGAGTGCATGGAAGCGGTAGCTGCAGAACATGGGCACTGTGAGAGCTACTGTGGCCACCTGCAGAATACAAGGCAGAGGAGACGAGATGAGAATCTTGCCAGTCGAGTCAAAACAGCTTGTAGCTGAGTTTTGAGACGTCTCAGAACTAGAATATAAGGCAGAGGAGACGAGATGAGAATCTTGCCAGTCGGGTCAAAACAGCTTGTAGCTGAGTTTTGAGACGTCTCAAAACTAGAATACAAGGCAGAGGAGACGAGATGAGAATCTTGCCAGTCGAGTCAAAACAGCTTGTAGCTGAGTTTTGAGACGTCTCAAAACTAGAATACAAGGCAGAGGAGACGATATGAGAATCTTGCCAGTTGAGTCAAAACAGCTGAACACGGGCACGGGCACGGGCACTGTGAGGGCAACTGTAGCAACTTCCCTCCCATTCCTATCATGCTCCCCGCCAACCCACCCTGGCTTGGCTCCCCAATTGCTCACCATGGAGACGCCCTGAATGAGCGCGTACATGAAGAAGCGGTTCGAATCCCCCAGCACGCCACTCAGCCACCACCAAGTCCTACAGTACTTTGCCATGCTTCCCCTCCCTTTCTAACCGACGTACTTACAGTAAAGACGCCCTGAATGAGCGCGTACATGAGGAAGCGGTTCGAATCCCCCAGCACGCTGCTCAGCCAGCATCAAGAGTTGTTGTTTGCCCTATGATTCCTTGCCGTAATTTCCCTACAGTTGCTTGCTTGCCGTACTTTCCCTACAGTTGCTTGCTTGCCGTACTTTCCCTACAGTTGCTTGCTTGCCGTACTTTCCCTACAGTTGCTTGCTTGCCGTACTTTCCCTACAGTTGCTTGCTTGCCGTACTTTCCCTACAGTTGCTTGCTTGCCGTACTTTCCCTACAGTTGCTTGCTTGCCGTACTTTCCCTACAGTTGCTTGCTTGCCGTACTTTCCCTACAGTTGCTTGCTTGCCGTACTTTCCCTACAGTTGCTTGCTTGCCGTACTTTCCCTACAGTTGCTTGCTTGCCATACTTTCCCTACAGTTGCTTGCTTGCCGTACTTTCCCTACAGTTGCTTGCTTGCCGTACTTTCCCTACAGTTGCTTGCTTGCCGTACTTTCCCTACAGTTGGTTGCACTGAGAACTCACCATGAACACGCCCTGAATGAGGGCATACATGACGAAGCGATTCGAATCCCACAGCAGACTAACCAACGAGCCACGTGCTTCTTCCCCTGTGCCTCCAGCTAGCTTCTAGCAGAGAACACTCACCGTGAACACGCCCTGAATGAGGGCGTACATGAGGAAGCGATTCGAATTCCCCAGCACGCCACACACACACAAACACACAAACACAAACACACACACACACACACACACACACACACACTTTGCCATGTCTCCCTCCTCCCAACAAGCCACTCACCGTGAAGACGCCCTGAATGAGGGCGTACATGAAGAAGCGGTTCGAATCCCCCAGCACGCCACTCAACCACCACCAGAAGTTGTTGGCCCGGGAGGCCTTCTTGGAAAGTTCTCGGAATGACGTCATCACCTCTGGGTCCCTCACCAGCCGCCGCTTCCTCAGCACCTCCACCACCAACCAGTAGAGGATCTGAAGGGGGGGTGAGGGGTGGTGGGGGGGAGTGGGGGAGGGGGGAAGGGGGGAAGGAGAGGGAGATGAGTGGAATTGGAGGAGTAGGACGAGCGGAATGCAGCTCACAGCCTTCTTGTACCAGCCGATGCTTCCCCAGCACCACCACTACCACCAACCAGTAGAGGATCTGTAAGCGGGGGAGGTGTGTGGTCGTGGGGGGGACGGCAGCAGAACGGGGGGGGGGGGGGGGAGGAGGAGAAGGGGAAGGGGGAGATGAGGCTTAATAAAACACCAGCCGAAGCTTCATGAGCCAATAGAGGATCCTTTGATTGGGGGGGAAGAGCGTGGAGAAGGAAATGAAGACAGCTCATTAGGCGCATACAATCATACCTGCCAGTACCCATACCTATTTGTACCCATTTGGCCATACCTGCCAGCACCCGCACCTGCCATATGCTGTACGATCAGATGTGCCACGCGGGCCACAGGCCCATGTCATTCCCAACCCAGACCAGACCGGACCGGACCGTGTCCTTGACAAGAGGTGGCTAACCGTACCTAACCGTACATAATCGTACCTGCCACAGGCTGTAGGCGATGAGAGGGACCACGAGCATCCACACCCACAGCTCGCCCATACTCGCCACGTGCGGCCAGGCAGGCCACGGCCCCGTGTCGTCTGCCGAGTGGTGGTGGAAGGTCACTGGGTCCCACCAGCGGATAATGAAGATGACTGTACCGGGTAGCAGGTGTATCAGCACGCTCACGATCTTGTCCACTGAGCTGAACACCAGGCTGCAGCGCCACACGATGAGCGCCCAGGCCAAGGGACCCTGTGGGTGGTGGTGGGGGGGGAAGAGGAAGGGAGAGGAGGGAGGGGGTGGGGGAGGGGGGGTTGGAGTCGATTCAAGGGCTGAACACCAGGCTGCAGCGCCACACGATGAGCGCCCAGGCCAAGGGACCCTGTCGATGGTGGTGGTGGTGGTGTGGGGGGGAGGGGAGGGGGCGGGGAGGAGGGGGGGGATGGGGGGGGTTGGGTGGGGTGGGGGTGCAGCGCCATACGATGAGTGCCCAGGCCAACGGAACCTTTGTGGGTGGTCATGGGTAAACGGATTGGACGGGATAGGGACGGGGCGGGATGAATGTGATGGGGATGGGAGAGGCAAAGCGATGTTCGCAAAGGAGAGCCAAGGCTTGACGAAAAGGATCGGCAGCACTGGACTACACACCTTAGTGAGGGCGAAGCAGAGGGGGAAGGGGTGCTGCCTCGTGGCAAGCCCAAAAATTGCGATTGAGTTTACTCTACAGTCAGCTTGACGACAAAATTAACAAACACCACACCATACCACACCACACACCTCAGAGAAAGCGAAGCAGACGAGGAAGAGGTGCTGACTCATGGGGAAAAAGACGAGAAACGCCACCAGAATCGCGTTCGCATAGTAGCAAAAGTCCTGCGAGCCACCAAACGACACCAATTATGCGCTCAGTGCGATCGAAATCCCATGCGATATCACCACTGATCACATGTAAGTGGGAAGTAATAGCATGATGGAGGGAAAAAAAAAAACACAAAAAAAACTTACGAGAAGGAAATAGTGCCATTTCTTGCTGCGGTAGTAGATCCATCGGAGGGGTGTGGCCATGAGGAAAAAGGCGGCGTATAGCCGAGGAACGTCATAGGGTCCTGCCAGTCACAACAGCTCCCACCGCCTATTAGCCGTAATAGGACGATAGAGACTGCGGTCCAACACATGATTCCGACTGTGAAGGTTGATTGGGAAATATTTGTCTGTAGCTTCCAAGTGGGCAATAAACTCACGGGATCCGAGGAGAAAACAGAAGATGCCGAAGCAAAGGACGCCTAAACAATATGTAACCTGCTCAAAAGGCGAAAAACAAAAAGCTTTATTAAGCTTGACAGTGAAGGTCTAAGACTGCAGAAGAAAACAGCAAGATTAATTTAAACAAAAATATGTATACCCTGTTAGCAAATTAAGCTTACTTTTGAGATCACGTGTTCTAGTTCGTCGGCTTTTCGTGCAAGGCGCTTCGCCTGCCGTGACAGGACCGCCTTAGTTTGCACAAGCACCTGATTCGCACAAAACGTACAACAATTTACGGAAACAAGAGGAATATGCAGAAGGAGTCGGGAACATATTCGTGTCCAAAACAACGCATCTTCGATGAGACAATAATCCTGTTACACGTGGAAAAATATCAGGAACAAAAGGAACGTACGCGTGACAAAACGTAAGCTGCTTTTGACAAATTTGAAAGGAACATACGCGTGACAGATTGCAGATAACATTTGAACTTTCTCAAAAGGACATACGCGTGACGGAATGCGAGTTCGTCGGAGGCGCGGACTGCCGGCGGGTGGGTGCACGTGGGGATGAGTCAGCGAATGGAAACGGTGCTCGTCTCCCGGCTTGTGCACCTTGTGACCCATGGCCGGGATGTATTACCGGCTTAATCTTTAACCGTCTGAAGACTAACTCAAGACTCACTCAAGTCTCGCTCGAGACTCACTCGAGGCTTGAATGACTTCTGAGCCTATGACAAAACTACCAACGACCACTTTCCTAGCCTCGGACTCGGGCCGAACCCAGAAACTATGTCAAAGCCAAGAGTACCTTATCGACTATCGCGAAGGTCTTAACTCCGCGAGACAACACCAGGGTACTATTCTCTGTGGCGAACTATGCGACAGGTAGTTCAGGAAGACGCTCCGACACCAATACGCTCTGATAATTTTCAAGTGTTCGTGAATAATCGCGAGGGCTGCTTGTCCCGGATAAATCGTTTCACTTCAAACAATATGTCCACAACGTATGCTAGTTTAGACGCGTTTCAGTGACATGGGCTAGTTCTAGGAGATGCTGTGATGCTAGAAGCTGGCAATTGCTGGAGGATGGTTGAAGCTGGGAGATGGTGATCGCTTGACTGACAGTTATGGCAACGACGAGTCACGGGAGGGAGGGAGCTTGATGGGTGAGGTGCGGGTTGGTGTGTGGGTGGCAGAGGAGCGAGGAGGAGAAAGTTGCTGCTGGGGAGTGAGATGGGGTGGGGTAGGGTGGGGTGGAGTGGGGAGGACAGAACGCTCGTTCGCCTCAGCGGGTCTTGCTGGGGATTCGTCTGTGGTGGTGTGGTGTGTACAGTTCCATGCAGTCAGCAGCTCCATCAACTGTTGGATGGATTCACTATCGGGCAGACAGTTCGACGTATTTTTCACCCACGGTTTTTGCTTGGGCAGCTCGAAGAAAACAGTTCTCTAGTGCCGTTCCCGCCAATGGGTATTCTCAATGCGCATTCGCACATGCTGACACATTGGAGGGCAGGGCAGAAAATGTGCCCACGAATCGCAGACGGTGTGCGTGCGCGTCCACCAAGCCCAAGGCCGTTTTCGAGAAAGTGGCATGGCAGGGCATCTCCAGGGGGGGACCTTCTTGCAAGTTCACAACTCGACGAGAACTTTTCAGCCGATATTTCGAAACAAGCCCAGCGGTGACGTGTTTTGTGGGCTTGGAAATCGTTTGCTTAGCCGACACGTCAGAAAGCGGGACACGATGGGCTAACAAGAGGGCACAGCTGACGCAACCCCATGGATGAGGAGTAACTGAGTCACGCCACGGTTATTTCGAGGTTTAAAGTGCAGCCAGTGGAATTTGCCTGCTGGCGCGCACTGTGTGGAAGCGGATAACCTGGTCCAAAGAAGTCCTCGATGGTTCCACCAAAACAACCACCACTGTTTTAAGAAGTGTTTAAGTTGTAGCACTCGAAGGTAATCGTCCTCACAAAATGTCACATAACATTGATTGCAATTGCAGCTTCACATGTTTTAGGCTAAGCAAGCAGCAGCATACGTGCCAGAAGTGGAGAGCCTCTCTAGTAACAAGCCTAATTCGATAGCTCCAAGAAATCCATCCTCGCTTGCAGTTATGTAGTTTTAACTGTACTAATGAATTTGTCAGAAGGATTTACCTACTTGGCACTTGAAGATTCAGAGGTTTCAGGCTAAGCTACCGGTACCAGCAGTGTACATGCCTCGATCTCAGAGTCAATCTGATCAGAATCCTAATTCGATGGCTCCAATGAATCCAACCTCGCTTGCAGTCGTGTAGCCGACTCCTCCAACTCCTCCCACTCTTGCTCCAGCTCTGTCATTTTCACGAGAGCAGCATCCTTCATCTTTTGAATTTTCATCACTCGTTCCACATCACTCCCAGCTTCCAGCATCGCCCCATCATACGACGCAATGGCTGCATCCCCCTTCTCCAAAGTGGCGAGTGTTTGTTTTATCTTGGTACGCACCTGCGACAAATCACAAAAAGCGAACATCAAAATCTTACAAACTGTCGCTAAAAACGCATGCAACACGTTTCGGGGTTGAGTCAAACAAGCCAGGTGATTCAGCCATACCTGTTGCAGCTTTTTCTTCACCTTCTTCACCTCCACACTCTGTTGAAACGCCTGCGATACTGCTCCATTTCCACCCACCTCACCTCCCCTCCCTCCCTTTCCTCCTCCTCCTCCCAGCCCCCCCATCCCTGCCAAACCCACCAGCCTGCCACCAGCACCAGCAGGCGCAGCAGCAGCAGCACCACCACCAACACCAACAGCAGCAGCAGCCCCGTTGGCACCGGATTTGTCGCCCTCCGCTGCAGTCACATCTTGAGGGAGCAGCTCAAAGACGCAGCTCCCAGTGCCGTCGATTCGAATGAGCTGCGTGGGCTGGAAGAGCTCGCAGAAGTCATGGTCGTGAGATACCACCACCACCGCACCTGAAAGGAAGGGGGGGGTGAAAACACATTTACTTGGATACATGCAAGAGCTTCCGGGGTGAGCAAGGTTCTGGGGCCATCGATTCGAATGAGCTGCGTGGGCTGGAAGAGCTCGCAGAAGTCATGGTCGTGGGAAAGGACGACCACCGCACTTGAAAGGGGAACACAGGAGAAGGGTGCAGAGAAAGGGTTCCGAACCATGGCAGGGTTACGAAAGTTGCAAGAGCCATCAGCATGAATGAGCTGTGTGGGCTGGAAGAGCTGAGAGAAGTCGTGGTCATGGGATACCACCTCCACCACACCTGCACGGAAAAATAATAGTGTCTCACAGGCAGACGTCAGAGAAAGGTGCAGGGTTACTATGATGGCCTTGGCCCTCTAACTGCAGGTGCAGAGAGAGGACCATGGATTGTGGCCGGTAGACAACAAGCTCGCAGAGACGTTGATGCGAGTGAGCTGTTCCGGGGGAGACGCCATCATAGTCGGCCTATCCCAATCAATGGTCGCATTTCCACGTGCTGGAACACACCTTATCAGCAGCTGTAATTCCAATGCCATGCCAATGCCATCATAGTGACCCTTTCCATATGGTTGCCTTTTTGTGCTTTAGAGCGCCTATAAAATACGCTCCTGAAAAAACCAGAACCACTGGCTGGAACACACCTTTGAACTGCTGCAATCCCGAGGCCAAGGCCATCATTGTCGTCCTATCCAGATGGTTGGACGGCTCGTCCAATAGCAGCGCGTTGTGCGGCCGCAGCAACAGTCCACCCAACGCCGCCCGCGCCTTCTCCCCTCCCGACAGCGCTGAAATCGGCCGCAAAGCCGCGGGGCCGGATAGGCCGAGAGTTCCCAGGGCGGTACGGCCCTGTTCGTTGGTTACCAAGGGGTTGTGCTCTCGTGCAACCTGGGGGCAGGGGTAGCAGAAGAGCATCCAATGCGTTATGAGACGATTGCTTTAAGGGATCCCAGGGCGGTACGGCCTTGCTCGTTGGTTACCAGGGGGTTGTGCTCCCGTGCGACCTGGGGGAAGGGAAAGCGGAACAGACAAGATTTTAGTGAGAAATAAGGCAGACTTTGAGCCCCCTAACAGTCTTTTTCATTGGGTATTAGAGGGCTGTGCTTCCCAGTGGGACAGGAGACTGGTCTTGCAAGAACACGCCTAAGCTCGCTCAGTAACATACCTAAGCTAGGTCTCAGGGAGAACCACCCATATTGACCACCACTCACACTGAGAACATAGTCTAGAGCGGTCACATCCTGAGGCAAGTCCTGAGCCAGGTCTTGAGAGAACACGCATAAGCTCACTAATGACACGCCTAATTGCGAAACCCACTCACACTGAGCACGTTATCCAGAGCCGTCACGTCCTGAGGCAAGTCCTGAGCCAGGTCTTGCGAGAACACGCCCAAGCTCGCCCAAAAACATGTAAGGTTCTGTGAGAAAACAACTCACACACAAACCCACTCACACTGAGCACCAATTCCGTTGAATTCCACTCACACTGAGCACCAATTCCGTTGAATTCCACTCACACTGAGCACCAATTCCGTTGAATTCCACTCACACTGAGCACCAATTATTCCACTCACACTGAGCACCAATTCCGTTGAATTCCACTCACACTGAGCACCAATTCCGTTGAATTCCACTCACACTGAGCACCAATTCCGTTGAATTCCACTCACACTGAGAACGTAATCTAGAGCCGTCACGTCCTGAGGCAGATCTTGAGCCAGGCCCTGTGAGAACACGCCTAAGCTCGCCCCCTCGCCCAAGCACACACGTAAGGTTCGGTAGGAATACCACTCACACCGAAACAACACTCACACTGAGAACGTAATCTAGAGCAGTGTCGTCCTGAGGCAGATCTTGAGCCAGGTCCTGTGAGAACACACCCAATCTCACTAAATGACACGCCAAATCGCGAAACCCACTCACACTGAGCACATAGTCAAGAGCAGTGACGTCCTGAGGCAAGTCCTGAGCCAGGTCCTGTGAGAACACGCCCAAGCTCGCCCCCTCGCCCGTCTCCCTCTCTCCTGCCATCAACTCTGCGCCTTCCCCTGCTGCCATAGCCTTGAGAAGCGTTGACTTCCCCGCTCCGTTTGGACCAACTATTAACTGCCAAGTGGCAGTGAACGGGGTGATGAGAATGGTGAGGAACAATCAGTGTGAAGTATACACCAGCCACCAGTTCTGGATGTTGCAGGGATTTTTTTAGAATTCTGCGCCTGCCCCTGCTGGGCAAAATCCCTGCAATCAGTGTGAAGTACACACAAGCCACCAGTTCTACGCCTGCCCCTGCTGCTGCCATGACCTTGAGTAGTGTTGACTTTCCAGCTCTGTTTGGACCTACGATCAACTGCCACGTGGCAGTGAGGGAGTATGACATGACACTGTAAGGGTGGGCTGAGTGGTGTCCCTTGTATGACATTGACCAGCATTGACCAGCATTGAGCATTGACCAGGAAGGATTGACCAGCATTGACCCGTATCAGGTAACAAGGAAAAACAAGGAGGGGGGAGAGGTGGGTGCTTACAGTTCTCGTGCCAGTCTCAATGGTGAAGCTGACGTGTTCAATCAGGGGTGACGTGGCACCAGCCCAGCCAACCGCAGCGCGTCTAAGCATGATGACTTCGCGTGAGCAGGGGGGAGGCGGGGGGA